GTGGTCGTGGAGGCGGCAGTGGTTGTCGTAGTCGTAGTAGTAGTAGTAGTAGTAGCAGTAGTAGTAGTAGTAGTGGTAGTAGTAGTAGTAGAAGGAGGAGGAGGAGCAGGAGGAGGAGTAGTAGTAGTAGTAGTTTGCCTCCTGCATGGCTGAGTAGACGAAGTGGTAGTAGTAGTAGTAGTAGTAGTAGCAGCAGTAGTAGTGGTAGCAGTAGTGGTAGTAGCAGTAGTGGCGGCAGTAGCGGCAGCAGCAGCAGAGAAAAAGGAGGAGGAGCAAGCTGCAGCTGCTGCTGCTGGCGCATTTGCTTGTGCTGGGGCTGAGGTTGTGGTCGTGGTGGTTGTTGTTGCTTGCATATAGTAAACCCATAAAGTTGGAAACAGGATTGAGGCCAAATAGTGCTGGGATTACCTATACATTACTCTTAAGGATTGAGGCTATTGGGCTTCCAACTGTTGGGCTTCAACTGTATGCTGATGAACCATAAGAAGACACCCCAAACCTGAGCCGTGACATCCTCCTGACCACGAGACCCATAAATCAGGCTTTGCAGAACCCTCTCCCCAGCCACACCTGGGGCGTGGCTCCCTGGCTCTCGGCGGAGGCCCTGAGAAGAAACTTCAAGATTAGGGAAGGCATCGGACATGGGGCTGACAGTACGGGTTCACGCTCTCACGACTCGGAACAAGCCAAGAGACGTCTAGGTTTAGAGCCCTTCCATGGGGAGGAGAGACTGGGTTGCACCTTCTTCGACGGGGTGTTACGCACCAATACACAAGAGTAGGCCCAAAGCCCAGCATTTCAAGCAATCACGAGCGATTAAAATTCCCCCCAAAAGCCCCGAAAGACGCAGCACCCGGACATCGAAATCGCTTCAAAACAGTAAACTCAGTAAACCCTAAACCCAGAAAACAAAAACCAGACCCTGGCTTCAACATCACAAGCGTAAACTGCCGTGAGCCTCCTGGCGCGCTCCAGTGCGGCTGCTTTGCGAGCCTTCTCCTCCTCAAAGGCCTGAAATGAGGGCTGTGGTACAGGGCTTTGGGTTGAGGCTTTAGGGCTTTTGTGCCAGGGTTTACGAAGCTTTCCGATTGCCGGCAAACAGAAACAGAGCAAGACAACGTGGGCCTAGGTACCGAAGGTAACACGAAACATGAGCAAGCTTCTTTGCATCATCTTGCAGCAATCTTGCATGTGTAAATAATGAGGCTATCGATCGTCAAAGTAGTGTGTGCTCTTAGCCTTCTTTTCGTAGTGGTATACCAATCTTCCTACACACGCCGAGGCCTGTCTTGCACGGTCCATGCCCAAACCGCCCTTGGCGCCCAAGTCCTGGTCATACGAGCACTAACACTTCAAGGCAATGCAGCCCACCCATGCGAGACAACAACGGCCAAGCACTGTCCTGCTGCACTTCTGTGCCACGGCTGGGGTGGCCGTTCTCGGCGGCCGCCCTCGCGCAATTTTGCAACCCATGGCAGTTGAGGTGAAGGCTCGACCGTGCCCTGATCCCGCACTAATAATAAATAAATATATATATATATATATATATATATATATGTAATATTAATACAAGAAATATACTATATATATATATATATATATATATGTAATATGTACATAAAATATATGTATAAGACAAGCTTCCCGCCTCCGGGCCCGGTCCAAAGCTGCTGCTTTCCTGGCTTTCTCCTCCTCGAAAGCCTTCGTGCGTTGAGTGAACGGTGTCGGCTTTACATAGACTTACTGACTGTATGCGTGGGAATGCCCGGATATTGAGAAAACCTTCCGAGTCAACCAACCTCAAGAATCTGGCAGCTGGGTTTTGTGGGACTGACTGAGATGGAATGTCTATGTCTGCCGGCAAGCGGTTCTTAAGTCTTATAGTCTCTTATAGTTAAGTGGAAGCTAAGGATCCTTCCTGCCTCCCCAATGCCGATGTTGTTCGGATGATAACGGTGGGTACTTTTATTGCATGCTCAAGCAGTGGGATGAAAATTATCTCTGTTGTCCACCTGCTTCGCTCTGTCCACACCGCCGTCGTGGTTGGATCCATCCTGATATGCCGGGGACACAAGAAACGACAGTCGTAAACGTCGGGACACTGACAACGGGAACCAACGCCAAGACCAACAAAGTGCGAAGCCTTAAGGGGAATACGCAGCCTGCAGCTGATGCATGTGTGTCAACCATTGCCGACGCTAGTCTTTGCTATATCTGCTGGTACTACTCCTACTACTGCTGCTGCTGCTAGTACTGCTACTGCTACGTTACTACTACTACTACTACTACTACTACTACTACTACTACTACTACTACTACTACTACTACTACTACGACTACTACTACGACTACTACTACTACTACTACTACTACTACCACTACTACTACGACGACGACTACTGCTACCGGCACTAGCACTACGACCAGGATGCTACTGCCATTGCCAGCACGACGACGACGTGAATCTGTCGCAGCTCAGTCTGCCTGGCCCTGTGCTGCAGCGCGGGCTGCCCGGGCTTTGTCCAGCGCTGCAGCCTTCTCATCATGCAGCAGCCAAGGCTTGAACAGGGTCTAAAAGTTTAGGGGTTCGGGTTTAGAGTTTAATCATCTTCCGAAAACTTGTCTGAAGCGGGCTAAAGACTGAGGCCTTGCGAGCTTTCTCGTCGGCGAAAGCCTTCCGAGCCTTCCGGCAAAGTCACTTGGATGGTAAGCACGTGAGCGGATTGTGAACGGCTGTGTTGCACATAGCCCTGCTGCAACATGCTCGCTCCGGCTTCTCCAATCCGTACAGAGCCCGGAAAAAAGCTTTGTGATGACATCTCTGCACATCTTTGCCTTCTCGATGCTGGAGTCCGGCGGAGCCTCCTCCTCTTTCGACTGGCCTGTGCAAGAACAGTCATAGGTACCCTTAGGGGAGGCCTTACCGCCCCAAGGGTCCAAATGAAACAGTTTCTTTCAAAGAGCTGTGTGCTTGAAGAGTGGGAACCACATCGCCAAGTCGTGCTAGCCAGTGCAGTATACAATCCCTTCGTTGGTGTGTTTGCAGCACACACGGAGACCAGTTACCTGGGAGGACATGTTTCTCGGCTACATTAACTTTATTAGGGGAGTTCAATCATAAGGGACACTGGCACCTATATTCTATATGTAAGCGCCTCAATTTCCAGTACCCAGAGCAGAAACAACCCTGATTTCAAGAAACACGTGGCTTCGCAAGCGAATCACTCGAATCATCCGACCGACCATCGCAACCGCGGCCACCGTCAATTTGACTAGCATTACCAGCGCCACAAGAATCATGACCATCACCACAAACATGAATAGTCGTGGGCATAACGACACCGAATTCCATTGCAGGCAGAAGCGAGAGGGACGCATGTAGGGGGGGCGGGGGGGGTGTTAGCAATCGGAACTGCTCTTCGGAGGGGCCGAAAGCTGAAGCTTCCTTTTGCAGCAGGCTTATCTCGCCCGGATCCCGAATCCCTAAACCGGCCTTCCGATGGATCTGCCTGGCCGGCTTCCCGCACCCTCGCGCGGGCCTCATCTTTTGGGGGGGTAGGATTGATGATTGTCTCCTTCGGACTTGGTTTTTCCAAAACATGCATGTTCAGACATATCCGTTGGTGTATGAATCCCTGTTGCTATTCCTGTGCTCTTTGCCCGGAGAAAGGAGTGTGACTGTCGCATGACCCGAGCCTTAGGCGCCACACTACCCCGATTGAAGCCTCAGGGAAGAGGTTCGGTGTTATCCACGGAGGCCTTCTGGCGCTGTAAGCAAGGTAATAACGACAGCCTGTCCGACGGTCGTTGATCCCCCGACCCTGGATGCTGAATCAACCCTAATCGGGCAACGTCCTCTGTCGCTGTCACTATCTCTCTCTCTTTGCTTTGCTCTCTTCTTCTTCAGCAGGGCATAAGGGGCGGGTTAGGCCCCCCGGCCTCATGGGCCTCCCATGTGTTATGGGGCTTTCGGTGGGGCGTGAAAAAGAAACATCAATTCCCCCAGTTGATGCAAGAGAATATATTGGACTAGGAATGACTGGGTTCATTGATGTTGGGCTGACACGTGCACGATCCTTTCGCGACTTTGGGGGCATACAATAAAGGCCATATCTTCACAGCATGACATACAATAGAGGACAAATCTAGAGTAATATGGTCCCCCTAAGGCCCTAAGTGTCACCTGCACGGACCGATGAACATGCGCAAATTTATTGCACAAAACGGGTGATTTCTTTGAAAACATCCCAGATAGCGAATACGTAAAGCTGAAACGAATTGTTGTGCAACTATGCGGGCAAAATCTTCAAATAGAAAGCGGACCTGAAAAAACATGCTGCTAAATTATTCTCCCCGCAATGCTTCGATTGCAGAGTTCCGCGGAGTTGACGATGAGCGGAATGAAGGATGAATTAATTCAGGCCCCCTGTTTGAGCATCACTTGCAGGGAGCTCCGGAGTGTGCAATAGCCCCCGAAAGGGCTGAGTTGTTTAAGTGAGGTTTGTACAGGCGCTGACCATCACAAGTCGTTTTGAAAAGAGACTGGTATTATTGCGGCTTGGCGGAAGGCCGGGCAAAGGAATCCGTAAGCAGAAACACCGTCAACAACATGCACACACACACACAACACAAACACGTCCTTCGCCCTCTCTCAGAGGTGCAAATATCTTACATCCCCCGAAGGGGTGGTATAAAAAATTTCGGCAGGCGGTGAGGTATAGATTGTAGATGTCAGCCTCAGGGAGGCCGGTTTGAAAAAACTTGGCAATGCGGCTAGATCGGACCGGGTGCAACTGCGGCGTCCATACAAGTGGTTGAGAGAAACAGTATCAAAAGCCAAACATGTGTTCACCCTGAACAAGGAAGTAGCGCGTAGGCACCCCCGAACAAACGAATTACAACAAGTTAGCAGGCGAACTCAGACAGGTCCCAACATGCATGTCAAGCTCTGAAGCACACCCTGAAAGGCTTAGAAAGTGCACCGGTAGCCATCGGCTGAATTAATCCTCTTCGACATGCATTGCTGCAGCGATGAAAGCTGCACTCTCAGAAGCACTTGCGGTGCACGATGGTCGCGCCACTCTCATCGTGCTCGCCTCGACGCTTTCACGACAGGTCGAAGCCGCCTCTTCTCGCCGATGTTCAAGCGCGCCGCCATGCTCGGAGTGCTGCATAGTAAGCCATCCCAAAGGCTCGGGCGCGGTTGCACTGGCCTCCAATCCAGGCGGCGTCACTTCAATGGCAGAACCGACATCGCCGCGAGTCTCAACAGCGATACGGCTCTCCTCAACCACGAGAGGAACACTTGTCGGTTCTCCAGATGTGCTGCTTTCTCGACCTCCACGAGACAGCTGGATGAGAGCCAGGACCATGTAGGCCAAAGGGATCAGCATCAAGAGGTAAATCCAGTTCAGTAGCTCTTGCCACCATAACCAACAGCGCCCAGTCTGCCGGCAGTACTGCATACATAGACCATAGCCCAAACCAAGTGCCGAGCACTGCTGCAGGAGCGTAGTCGCTTGACGACACAGTACCAGGAGGCGCAGTTTAAGAGCACAGCCAGTTGTAGGTCTAGGAGGTTGAAGATCAGAGCCGCTGGGATGGAGATCGAAGCAATTTGCAGAAGGTAGAAAACCCCTTGCATCAACCAAAACAGGACGGACACGGAGAGAAGTGCCCAGATGGATGTCACGTTCCATGATGCAAAGGCAATGGCCCAGTCGTCATGATGGCAGCCGAACATGTGAGCTGTCAGCCTGGGCCTCATCAGGAGACGCGCATATTCACGGCCAGTACTGGCCAGCCCGGCAAACCAGCTGAGCTGCGCCATGAAAGGCTACAATACGCGAGACGTCGGGCTACTGCAGGCTTGTGCCGAGATGCGCTTGAGCCAAAATGGCTAGAGCCAAAATGGCTACGCTCTCGCTCTCTCTCTCTCTCTCTCCCCCTCTCTGTCTCCCTTTCTCCCATATGTATTGCATGGTAAACAGCACACAAGCATGCATGCATGTATCTGCATACATGTTTGTAAAGATATAGATACTTCTGACAGTACATATACATGTATATACATATATATATATATATATGTATGTATGTGTATATATATATATATGTATGTATGTATGTATGTATGTGTATATGCATGTCTGCGTATACTTACATAAACATGCACATGTGTGTCTGCATACCGAGTTTACATGTCTGAAGGCGCACTTACGTCGCCTTGCCGCTTGTCATCCTGCGTCCAGTATGTGCCACATTCACAATTAGCCGAGGGGCCCGTTCAAGTGCCGCTGCCTTCCTGGCCTTCTCCTGCTCGAAAGCCTTCAAAAGAGCTGAGAATTTAAGAGTCGGGACTTTTATGGACTTTGAAGGATGCTAAGCGCCGCGATTGAGGCTGCGGGAGACCTCCCAACAGCCTGCTGACTGAGTTCCTCGGTGACTAGCGCTCTAAGAACAGTTGCAGTGCAGAGAGCGCCTGCTTGGCGCGATCCATTCCTGCAGCGGCCCCTTGGCGAGTGTCCTTCAATAGCAAGGGAGCTGTTGTTGGTCTGGTTGAATGTGCAGATGTGCAAGACAATACATCGATAGCCGTGTTTGAAATGTGCATGAACAAGGTGCAGTACGGCTTGGACTTGCGTCCTGCTTGAAACGCCTCATGGTACAGCATGTGCTTGTAAAGCCCGAAGCATTCGATGACGCTGCTACGACGTCTCATCCGCGACTGCCGCACGGCGGTCACGTACGCCACCGCAACGGTTCGCACGCGCACAACATGTAGAGCACGAGCTTCTTCCACATTTCAGAACGACTATATAACTAAGCACAGCGATTAAGCAGGCAGGATTATCGAGACTTCCGTTGTTGAAATAAGAGCCGGCTAGGAGGCATCAGAACCCGCTCCCCACCCATGCCGCCCCTCGCCTGGGCGGTGGCCGTGGCTGCCTGGTTCTCGGCGGAGGCCCTGAGCCAAGTCGCGAAGTTTCGACTCTCAGGCAAGGAATACTTCGACTGGCGCGACGACACAGCGGCACAGCATGGAAATCCAGCTTCAGAACCAACAGAACCTCAACTGTTCTACACAAGTAACCATGAGATCCCACATTACTCAGGCGCAGCATCACTGGAGGGTTCGAGATTATGGTCGTTTATTCGCTCACGCTCTTCCGTAAGGGGGGGAGATGGAATTGCTTCTAACCGTGAAGGTCGCTTAGATAGGCGGGGGGTCAGGCAAAGGGAGCATTATACAAAGGCTTTAAGGATTTCTAAAGGTACAAACACGGAGAGGTTCCAAACAGGTTGCTACAAGGGCTTTTGGATTTCACATAGGTTCAAAAAGGCTACACAAGTTACCAGACTATAAGGTCAAGAGGTCGGCAGAGCCGACGGTTATATCAAGTAACTCCACTACTCGAGCCTTGAACCTTGAAGCATAAGCCCCTGAAGCGAGTGCTAATAAACCCAACCAGCAAACAGAGAATCGCGTTGTCACAACCATGATGCACAGGAGCCCCCATATCCTGATATCCCAACCAGAATTTACCCCAATCCGCGAGCCCTAACCAACCTAACAAACCGAAAGAAACACGCCTCCTGGCTCGCTCCAGTGCGGCTGCTTTGCGAGCCTTCTCCTCCTCGAAAGCCTGAGACGAAGACGGCGCGAAAGGCGAACAGGATGGTATAGCCCACATTTGGACAGGCTTGATGGTCAGGGATGGTAACAAGTAGCAGTGATAAGACATGTTCGCATACGTGCACAATCGTGCACATGTAACGCCTGGTCGATTCTGATCGTTCTGGGCGGGTCCGTGCTGAGTGGCAGCTAGCGGGCCCAACAGGCACACAAAACAACACTGCTACTGAAGCGAAGCAGTCTTCCCGAAGATCTCCCAACAAAATGCCGAAGCCTGTCTAGCCCGGTCCATACCCACATCGCTCTTGGCGCCATTGTCCTGACCATGTCATGTAAGCGTCAGACATCTAATGGCTTTTCTGATTTTGCATGATCACAGCACAAAGTTCAAAGAAGCTCCTGCGGTGCCTCCACTCCGTTCGGCTGGCTGCTCTCGGCGGCCCTTGCCCTGTGCAGTCTGTGTTCCATTTGTGTACGTACGCTCTCGCAACTCGGACTCCGCCAGACGAGGCCTCTCGGTTCAGAAGTGCTTTGACCGGCCAGACTAGAAGCTGACTCCACAAGTGTACTTTAGAACTTCACTAATCAGCCCTCATCGACGGAGGGCACTCGCCGTGGCTCTGATCTCCGACAACGACGGCAAGCCGGGCTTCCTGCCTGCGGGCCCGTTCCAAAGCTGCTGCTTTCCTGGCTTTCTCCTCCTCGAAGGCCTTCGTCCGACGCTTGGCTGAAAGAATGGACTTGGTGCATTCCTCGTGCTCTCCACCGAAGGAATGGTTGCAAACGCGCTACTGCTGGCTGCGCTGGAAAGAGCTCGGTCTTCATGGGACTGACTGGCTAGCTGAGATGGCAAGCCTTTCCGCGAGTACTTGTCACTGAAAGCTGCTCTGCTGACAGTCCTACAGTCACTTTTGTACAAACCGCAATTAAAATACTGTCGTGCGCATTGCTAGGCTGCTAGAGTTTTCAAACCTACCAATCCGACTTCTAAGCGTACTTTCCAACCCCAGCTTGGCGCCCCATTCTGCTGTGCTATCGCCTATGACTGTGCTGCCTCCTGCGACGGCTGGGGCTGGTGCAATCCGTAACGTGGGTACTTGCCGATGTTGCTACGACCGTCGCTGCGTTCGGTTGGGGTACTACCACACTTACACACAGAATTATGGCTGCTCTCATTGTTATGGTTGTGTATGTTTGTGTGTTGCTACTACAACGAAGAAAAGAGGTCGCGCACCTGCTTCGCTCTGTCCACACCGGTGTCGTGGTTGGATTCATCCTGGCATGTGTGCCAGTGCTCTGCACCGTCGAAATGGCAACTGCAGCGGCAGCAACGGGAGCAACCACATACGGGGCCCCCCCCCACACACACAAACACACACACACACACAGACACAGACACAGACACAGACACAGACACACACAGACACACACACACACACACACACACATATGTGTGTGTGTGTGTGTGTGCGCGTGTGTATACGTACATTAGTTTAATTGTATGATATATAACACGTGCATATCTATCTGTGTGTGCAGATGTGTACCGAAGTCGATTTATGTATATTGGTGTATGCACGTGTATACATATATGTGTATACATGTGTGAACGTGCATGGTAGTCTGTGCATGTAAATGCAAGTCTGTCTAAATGCTCTTTATATGTATGCACATGCATGGTCGATGGCAAAATTCAATGGGACGACAACGGCCACCACATCAAGAAAACCACACTGAGAAGCAACAACAAACAAAGCCAGGAACAAGAATCAACACTTAAAGCAATGCCAGCAAAGTGCGGTCAGTGAGATTCGCAACCGACACTGCCCTAGCAACGGGAACTCAAGCGGAGAACCGAACCACTAAGCCTTAATGCCCTAGAGCTACAACGAACGATCGATTTACTCCTGATGAGTATCCTACTGCTAGCTGCTTGCTGCTAGAATTCGTAGCTGTGGTGCACCAGTACGAATACCATCAGTACCGCTACGTCATTACCACGCTCCCTCTTCTTCTTCTGCTGACGCTACTACAACTAATTACCACCGCCACAAAAACTCCGAGGACGACGACTAGCATTGCAACTGCCACAGCCGCACAACAAGTACCAAGTAGTAGTACTACTACGACTACGACGACTACTACTACTACTACTACTGCTACTGCTACTGCTACTGCTACTGCTACTGCTACTGCTACTGCTACTGCTTACTACTGCTGCTGCTGCTACTACTACTACTACTACCACTACCTCTACTACTACTAACTACTGCTACTACTGCTACTACTACTACTACTACTACTACTACCACTACTACTACCACTACTACTACTACTACTACTACTACTACTACTACTACTACTACTACTACTACTACTACTACTACTACTACTACTACTACTGCTACTACTACTACTGCTACTGCTACTACTACTGCTACTACTACTGCTACTGCTACTGCTACTACTACTACTACTACTACTACTACTACTACTACTACTACTACTACTACTACTACTACTACTACTACTACTACTGCAACTACTACTATCCGCCGAGGCCAGAGGCCCAGGCGTTTTGGTGGTTACCTCAGGTACCCTCCACCTAATCCTCCTCCCTGTGTATCCCCTCGCTAGGCGTACAGGAACACAGGCACTCAGGTGTCTCTTTTGCTACAGGCGCACAGCTGTAGTCCACTGCACTAGAACCTTGAGCAACAGGCATGGATACATGCAAGTGATACGTGAAACAGACAGGCACCTGGATGTGTAACATTCGGTGTTTCACCCCTCCCCCCCCCCCCCCCCCCCCCCCCCCTCCCCCCCTCTCCTGGCCTCCCTTCCTCACCCCCGCCCTCCCGCTTCTCCTCCCCCCCCCCTTCGCCCCTCCCTCGCCCCCCCTTTGGCTTTTGCGTCAATCCACTGCCTTTCTTTCTTTTCAGGCTCCTTCTGTCTTGCCTTCTCTTGTTCCGGGCGGCATCATTGCGGGCTTGGGTTTGCGGGGACCGCCTACCATGTGCCTGCATCATCCGCTGCACCCTCGCCCTGCCACTACAGAGCCGAGGCGGGCGGCGTAGCGTTAAAATTACAACTATACTGCTACTACAACCACTACCACAAGCCGTACCCCTACCCCCACCACCACGACGACGTGAAGCTCTTGCGGCTGATTCTGCCTGATTCTGTGCCGCGGCCATCGCTGCCCGGGCCTTTTCCAGCGCTGCTGCCTTCGTTGATGCCAGATTAATATATGGGCCTTAATAAGCAGAGTAATTCCTTAAAGGGATCTGTAGTAGGGTACTATGATATAAGGGCCTTAATCATTAGAATAGGGTTTGGGTATTTTCTAGTATAAGTATAATAAGGAATGGTAATTATTTAGGCCCCTACATTATGTCACGGCCGAGGTTTGAGCGACTTCGGATCTTCATGTTGACCATCCTCCGTTCAAAACACAGGCCTTGCGAGCTTTCTCTTCGGCGAAAGCCTTCCGAGCCTTCCAGAAAAGTCGCTTTTTTGGTGTGTAGGTGGGGTCGTTCCACAATTTCCATACAGTCTCTCTCGCACCTGCCTTCTCGATGCTGGAGTCCTGCGGAGCCTCCTCTTCCTTCGGCTGACCTGAGTCCAAAAAGATTTACAAGAACCAAGCTGCAAGCAGGTTCGCTTAGAGAGCCGTGAGAACGAATGCTTCACACCGGTGAAAGCGCATCGGCAGAGCAAGCTAGCCCCTACTGTAGCCCGGATGCTATCCATGTTACAACATCACACCATATCATCATTGACACAGTACCGCACAACATAGGGGTTTCCGAAAATAAGGGGTACCTTATTTTGGGGTCCTTATAATAAGGACCCTACTATGTAGCGTACTATATAAGGGGCCCCTGTTTGAAACCCCCCACACATAACATAACACAATCCTTCTCTACAGTAGAAGCCAAAAAGTTGGAAACCCAATAGCCTCAATCCTTAAGAACAATGTATAGGGAATCCCAGCACTATTTGGCCTGCCTTAATCCGGTTTCCGACCTTATGGGGCTTACTGTAAGTTATGGAAGATCTGGGTTCCCGGCCTTCGGAAGCCCCTAGGCCTTCTCCCCGAGCCTCCGCGCGGGCCGCGCGGGCCTCATCTCTTGGGCTGCAGGGCTTGTTTAGGTTTTAGGGGTTTAGTTTTAGGACTAGCCGAGCGGCCCGTTCCAGTGCCGCTGCCTTCCTGGCCTTCTCCTGCTCGAAAGCCTTCGGAAGAAGTCGAAAACAGCGGGCTTGGAGTTTAGGAGTGAGGACTCCCAAGGGCCCTCATGGCTTTCTGCCACTGTGGCCATAAGAGATGCTGAGAGTGCGAACTACCTTGGCAACTGTGACTATGGCTTCGGCGGACTTTCCCGATTTCCCTGTGCATGCCTGCTTGGCACGATCCATCCCTGCATCGGCTTCGCGTGTGTCCTTCACAAAGCCCGAAATACTTCACGGAGCAGTATGTGCCAGTCTGCAGCATTAGACAACATCATGTGTGACTGTCCTCACTGTCCCACTACAAACATGCTGGAGAACTCGCATCTTGGACATGTTTTGCATGCCGTGACAGACAAGCCGACCATAACTGTCGAGTCTTCCGTTGCTGCAACAAGGAAGCCACCTGAACCCTCTCCCCAGCTCGCCTGGGCTTGGGCTGCCTGGTTCTCCGCGGAGGCCCTGTGCCGAATCTTCTAATTTGTGGGAAAGTCGGGCCTCGGGGTTCGGTGCCCAGGGATCCTTGCGTGAGGAACATACTGAGTGCGCTGTTCTTTTCGTAGTCAGCTGGGTCGCCAAGCACAGCCCCCACAACCAAGGGCTGAACAAAGATGCTCCCAAGCCCAGCAGCAATTTTTGCAACCGAGAAGCCCTGAAGGCCTACGATCCTCAGATTTAAATCCATCTGAGTGCTAGAATCTGCTAGAAGTCCCAGAACCCCCAAGGCCGTATGTCAGATTCCCGTGCATCCACCTGCATCCACCCACCAAAACTGAGCACGCCTCCTGGCTCGCTCGAGCGCAGCTGCTTTGCGAGCTTTCTCCTCTTCAAAGGCCTGAAACGAAGACGGTCGAGGGCAAACAAAGCAAGCTCACAGCTGCATATATGTACGACACTGTATGACTGTGAACGAATGAAAGCTTCAAGCGATGCCCGAGGACGTACGAACTTCCTCGTCGATTGTCGCATTGACGAGCTTTCCTGATATCGCTCTGAGCGCCTGCTTGGCGCGATCCACCCCTGCATCCGCTTGGCGCGTCTCCTTCAAAAACCACAGCACCGTTGTAGAGTCCGTTGTAGAGTTGCAGGTCTGTGCCGACAATCATGCGTTCGAGACGTCGTGGCCACACATGATCACACATGTCAACCTTGAAATGCCTCCGGTATGTGTCTGCGATGCCCGCAGCATGAGACTAATCATGAGAATCATGAGACGAGGTCGCAGATATCTCCCTTTCGGCTGCGACGTGTGCCACTGCAACAATGCCAGACCATTCGCGCGAGAATTTCCGTTGCAGTTTGGAACCAACTGAACCCTCTCCCCAGCTCGCCTGGGCTTGGGCTGCCTGGTTCTCCGCGGAGGCCCTGTGCCGAATCTTCTAATTTGTGGGAAAGTCGGGCCTCGGGGTTCGGTGCCCAGGGATCCTTGCGTGAGGAACATACTGAGTGCGCTGTTCTTTTCGTAGTCAGCTGGGTCGCCAAGCACAGCCCCCACAACCAAGGGCTGAACAAAGATGCTCCCAAGCCCAGCAGCAATTTTTGCAACCGAGAAGCCCTGAAGGCCTACGATCCTCAGATTTAAATCCATCTGAGTGCTAGAATCTGCTAAAAGTCCCAGAACCCCCAAGGCCGTATGTCAGATTCCCTTGCATCCACCTGCATCCACCCACCAAAACTGAGCACGCCTCCTGGCTCGCTCGAGCGCAGCTGCTTTGCGAGCTTTCTCCTCTTCAAAGGCCTGAAACGAAGACGGTCGAGGGCAAACAAAGCAAGCTCACAGCTGCATATATGTACGACACTGTATGACTGTGAACGAATGAAAGCTTCAAGCGATGCCCGAGGACGTACGAACTTCCTCGTCGATTGTCGCATTGACGAGCTTTCCTGATATCGCTCTGAGCGCCTGCTTGGCGCGATCCACCCCTGCATCCGCTTGGCGCGTCTCCTTCAAAAACCACAGCACCGTTGTAGAGTCCGTTGTAGAGTTGCAGGTCTGTGCCGACAATCATGCGTTCGAGACGTCGTGGCCACACATGATCACACATGTCAACCTTGAAATGCCTCCGGTATGTGTCTGCGATGCCCGCAGCATGAGACTAATCATGAGAACCATGAGACGAGGTCATCTGCGACATTCTGCGACTCCCTTTCGGCTGCGACGTGTGCCACTGCAACAATGCCAGACCATTCGCGCGAGAATTTCCGTTGCAGTTTGGAACCAACTGAACCCTCTCCCGAGCCCGCCTGGGCTGGGGCTGCCTGGTTCTCCGCGGAGGCCCTGCGCCAAATCTTCTAATTTGTGGGACAGTCGGGCCTCGGGGTTCGGTGCTTATAGGGATCCTTGCAGATACTGCGTGCCTTCATTTCGTAAGGTCAACTCAGTGAACTCTCTTCGTTGGACGGTTTGTGCGTCTCGATCAAGACACACAAGGTCGAGGATCAAGTACTTGGGTCGCCCGAGCGTTGTGGAGTGCTGAAACAAACCCAAACAAACCATGCTCCCAAGCCCAGCAGCAATTTTTGCAACCGAGAAGCCCTGAAGGCCTACGATCCTCAGATTTAAATCAATCTGAGTGCTAGAATCTGCTAAAAGTCCCAGAACCCCCAAGGCCGTATGTCAGATTCCCTTGCATCCACCTCCATCCACCCACCAAAACTGAGCACGCCTCCTGGCTCGCTCGAGCGCAGCTGCTTTGCGAGCTTTCTCCTCTTCAAAGGCCTGAAACGAAGACGGTCGAGGGCAAACAAAGCAAGCTCACAGCTGCATATATGTACGACACTGTATGACTGTGAACGAATGAAAGCTTCAAGCGATGCCCGAGGACGTACGAACTTCCTCGTCGATTGTCGCATTGACGAGCTTTCCTGATATCGCTCTGAGCGCCTGCTTGGCGCGATCCACCCCTGCATCCGCTTGGCGCGTCTCCTTCAAAAACCACAGCACCGTTGTAGAGTCCGTTGTAGAGTTGCAGGTCTGTGCCGACAATCATGCGTTCGAGACGTCGTGGCCACACATGATCACACATGTCAACCTTGAAATGCCTCCGGTATGTGTCTGCGATGCCCGCAGCATGAGACTAATCATGAGAACCATGAGACGAGGTCATCTGCGACATTCTGCGACTCCCTTTCGGCTGCGACGTGTGCCACTGCAACAATGCCAGACCATTCGCGCGAGAATTTCCGTTGCAGTTTGGAACCAACTGAACCCTCTCCCGAGCCCGCCTGGGCTGGGGCTGCCTGGTTCTCCGCGGAGGCCCTGCGCCAAATCTTCTAATTTGTGGGACAGTCGGGCCTCGGGGTTCGGTGCTTATAGGGATCCTTGCAGATACTGCGTGCCTTCATTTCGTAAGGTCAACTCAGTGAACTCTCTTCGTTGGGCGGTTAGCGCGTTTCGATCAAGGGGATCAAGTACGTGGGTCGCCCGAGTCTTGTGGAGTGCTGAAACAAACCCAAACAAACCATGCTCCCAAGCCCAACAGCAGTTTTTGCAACCGAGAAGCCCTGAAGGCCTACGATCCCCAGATTTAAATCCATCTGAGTGCTAGAATCTGCTAGAAGTCCTAGAAGCCCCAAGCCCGTATGTCAGATTCCCCTGCATCCACCAACCAAAACTGACCACGCCTCCTGGCTCGCTCGAGCGCAGCTGCTTTGCGAGCTTTCTCCTCCTCAAAGGCCTGAAACGAAGACGGCCGAGGGCAAACACAGCAAGCTTACAGCTGCATATATGTATGACATTGTATGACTGTGAACCAATGAAAGCTTCAAGCGCCCGAGGACATACGAACTTCCTCGTCGATTGTCGCATCGGCGAGCTTTCCTGATGTCGCTCTGAGCGCCTGCTTGGCGCGATCCACCCCTGCATCCGCTTGGCGCGTCTCCTTCAAAAACCGCAGCAAAGTTGTAGAGTCCGTTGTAGAGTTGCAGGTCTGTGCCGAGAATCCCGTGTTCGAGACGTCATGGCAACCCTTGAAATGCCTCCGGTATGTGTCTGCGATGCCCGCAGCATGAGACTAATCATGAGAACCATGAGACGAGGTCATCTGCGACATTCTGCGACTCCCTTTCGGCTGCGACGTGTGCCACTGCAACAATGCCAGACCATTCGCACGAGAACTTCCGTTGCAGTTTGGAACCAACTGAACAGAACTGAACCCTCTCCATAGCCCGCCTGGGCTGGGGCTGCCTGGTTCTCCGCGGAGGCCCTGCGCCAAATCTTCTAATTTGTGGGACAGTCGGGCCTCGGGTTCGGTGTTTATAGCAATCCTTGCAGATACTGCGTGCCTTCATTTCGTAAGGTCAACTCAGTGAACTCTCTTCGTTGGACGGTTTGTGCGTCTCGATCAAGACACACAAGGTCGAGGATCAAGTACGTGGGTCGCCCGAGCCTTGTGGAGTGCTGAAACAAACCCAAACAAACCATGCTCCCAAGCCCAGCAGCAATTTTTGCAACCGAGAAGCCCTGAAGGCCTACGATCCCCAGATTTAAATTCATCTGAGTGCTGGAATCTGCCAGAAATCCTAGAAGCCCCAAGCCCGTATGTCAGATTCCCCTGCATCCACCAACCAAAACTGACCACGCCTCCTGGCTCGCTCGAGCGCAGCTGCTTTGCGAGCTTTCTCCTCCTCAAAGGCCTGTGCGTAGGTAAATGAAACGAAGTATGGGGTAAGCCTGGCTGCACGTCTATCCACACATCTGTGTGTGCATGTGGGCATGTCGATGGGTAGGTAGGTAGGATAACCTATGTAAGTAGGCAGGTAGGTCGGTATATGTATATGTATACGTATATGTATATGCATGTCCGTATGTATGCGCGTGGGTGGGTGCATAGTATTGATGCGAAGCGTCTTGCCGAGGCCTGATCGAGGCGGACGACGCGAAGCGTTCACCGTGAAGACGTTTGTATGTGCACATATAGATGTCAGATGATGTGTCAGTACAGACTATAGTACATACAATGAAACCGCGTCCATGTCCGAGGCAAGATTGATGTATTCTGACTAGCCAGAAGAATGCAAAACAGTTATAGTTATGAGCCAACGAGCACATGGCAAAAAACACGCTAGCAAACAGATCAATCGTCTCCCATCCCTGCCGAAGCCTGTCTGGCACGGTCCACACCGACATCGTTCCTGGTAGTCATGTCCTGGCCATGCGGGCATCAGACATCTACTCCGCCTGCGCATCATGTACAAGGCCAAAGATTCTCCTGCGGAGCGTCCGCCCCACCACGGTTGGGGTGGCTGTTCTCGGCGGATCCCCTGAACAGTTTGATTTGGCGCATTCGATTTGCAGGTTAGGTCGAAGACCTACTAATCCGATCAAAGCTGACGACACGACGAGCTTCCTGCCTCCGGGCTCGTTCCAAAGCTGCTGCTTTCCTCGCTTTCTCCTCCTCGAAGGCCTTCGTGGCAACGCTTGGTGGAAAGGATGGACTCGGTGTTTTTATCGTGCTCTCCATTGAGAGAATGCTTCCAAATGCGCTAACAGGTTGTGCTTTGGAGTATGCAAATTTTCAGGTACTGGCTGCGGGACCGACTAGTGCGATGGAATGCCTGTCCACAAGTACTTGCTAATGAAGCAAGCTGCTCTGCTCATAGTCCTCCTATGAACCAACGACAAGCCCATCGGAATGCAGCGTTGTGCATCACCAGGCTTGATCTAATCCGTGCCAATCCAGCCTTAAAGCCTTCCAACCCGAGGCAGGTCTCCATTCTGCCACGCTGTCGCCGATTGCACTGCTACTATGATTGTCATAAGTGCGCAATGATGTTGCCGGCACAGTTCCTGCGATGCTAACGACTTGCACCATAGCTATACTGCCACTACTATGAGGTCTGCTATTGTGGACGGCTCCTTTAAACATGGTTCCTGTCATCCACCTGCTTCGCTCTGTCCACACCGGTGTCGTGGTAGGATCCATCCTGAACCGTTGTTACGAGGAGCAGATGCAAAATTGCACAGCTAAGGCCGTCTATCGCCCTCGTGGGGAAGATCTCGTCGGTTATGAGGGTTTGCATGCATACATACATACATACCTACACACATGTACACTCATGCATGATACATAATATATATATATATATATATATATATTTATACGTGCGTACATACATATTGAACACTCGCCCAGCCAGCCAGCCAGGCAGGCAGGCAGGCGGACGGACAGGCATGCAGGGCAGGCAGGTAGGCAGGCATACAGACATACATGCAGACATAATAAGCACATACAAACATACATACAGACATGCATACATACAGACAGACATATATACACATTTCGCATTTACATAAGGCACATTAAACAACGAGTTGTTGATGGAGGAAGAAAAACAGAATGGCCAGGCTCGGGCCAAGCGAATGCGCTAGGGGTGGCAACATACAAGAACATGAACGAACACGACATGAAGATGCGGGCAGCAACGTTACGGAATATCGACTCTGCGACCCATCTCAGACGTAAGACGGATGCATGTGCATCTGACGACACACTATATCACTATAGTTTCTCCCGGCGGGAACATATTATTTGTTCTGAATCCCTTATGGATGAGCCTGCCTGGTTCTGTGCCGCATTGCGCGCTGCTCGGGCTTTGTCCAGTGCCGCCGCCTTGTCTGACGTCAGATCTTGCAACTTCGAAGCTTCCAACTGAAAATGCTGATCTTCCCAACAATCGTCGGAAGCCGGTTCAAGACACGGGCCTTGCGAGCTTTCTCTTCGGCGAAAGCTTTCCGAGCCTTCCAGCGAAGTCACTTGCATGGCATGTAGGTGGGATCATTCCACAAGTTCCTGTAGTGCTTTGACAATGTCGTCTGTTTGCACGTGCGCCTTCTCGATGCTGGAGTCCTGTGGCGCCTCCTCCTCTTCCTTCGACTGGCCTGAGCCCGAAGTCATATTCATCACAAGAACGAAGCTGGGAACAGAACAGGTTGGCTTAGAGAGCCGTGTTAACGAATGCTTTGCATCAAGTCGCATACACATCATGCGGGCCTTAATCATGGCAATAGGGTTTTGGGATACTTTATACATACCCGTAATAAGGAAAGCGCAAAATAGTACTACGGCCCCTATAGTATGGAGGTTCTCTCAACAGCATGTGGGTTTACTTCTCTCGCAGCAAACATGGGAGCCCTGCAGTTAGATCTGCAAATTCGTGCATCCACGCTTGTTGATGAAATCAAGAGTTCCACACGTATTCCTGAAAGTAAGGATTCCACTGCATGTATGCATACAAGGCTTGATAGACTGATAGAGGAACCTTCGCCGCGTCGCCCAACATGGTGCACACAACCCTCACTGCTTGCCGTCTGGTCGCTGTCGTTGGCCCCGTTCACACGTATCCAAACAGCTCCGTCGTTCCACTCCAGCTTGCCGTCGGAGTTCAGGGTCCCTTTGTAGACTTCGCTGCCCATCTGGAAGGAGCCTTGGTCGGTCGCGAACCGCGGCGGCAAAACCTGAGAGCCCTGTGACGAAAAAGCAGACAGGCCGTCGTGAACGAGCGGTACGTAGAAATCACCCCGTCGCTGAACAAAAAGGGCAGCTGTGGGCACCTATGCAGGCAAAGCGCACGTTGTCTGGCTAGTGATTTTAAGGTCGAGCTGGCCGCCGTCGGGGCCGTACATCCGCGAATCTTTCACCTTGCGAGGGCTGGTGCTTGCAAGCAGCGTGTACGAATCATTCTCCCAAACTCGGTCTCGGTTTTCAGCATTCAGCTCTGATCGGCTCTGGATTGAAAGTATGGACGACCCTTGCTCTCTCAGATTGACAGCGGAATGGGGATAACAGGCCCGGCACGGATCAGGCTCGCAGAAAAGCTGTCTTGTCGCAACCTACATCGAAGTCTACGACCTGCTGTCGGGGAAATGCTGGCAACCAACATCCAAACCCGTCCCTTGAGCCGTAAAATTTGCTAGTCCAAGAGAACTTTCGGGCTGGAATCGTTCAGCCACTAAGTTAACAATATAGTATAATGGGCCCCAAAACCCTATTCTAATTATGAAGGCCCCTACAATGTAGAACCCTACTATAGATCCCCTATAGACCCCTTTAAGGAATGATTGCCGCAAAGGTGGCGACGACCACCGTCCCCTCGTCGTCTTGCCATGCTCCTGGCGGCTCCGAGGCAACTCGATGTTTGGTCTCGGACCGGTAGAGCTTGCAAATGCACTCGCCCGGTGTTCTTATGTAACTTCATGCAGCTAGCACGAGCGGGAGCCATTAGGAGCTTTGAGGCCGGATCCTGCTTGGCAGTCTTACTACGTGTCAGTTGCGCACCTAAAGCTCTCAGTTGAACTGAGGGATCCTGCGAAAGCGCCATCCCTTCCCGAGGTAACCATGGCTTGGACGGGCGGACAAAAAATTCAGTGGATGCTGTTATCGAAGCCTTCGCTAGAGTCTGCAGACTTGCAGTTTCTTGAATGTCTGGCAGCAAGCGAACCCGAAAGCAATCTTGACATCTGCATTCGTGCATTCCGTCTCTGCACCAAGTAAATGAGTATGGAACACATGCTGCATGCTCTGAGGACTTGTTGCAGTTCTAGGTCATGTGCTTCTGTCCTATCCTTGCAGCGAGGGGGCAGCCCCTGTCTTGAACCAAAACGAGCCGGATTTTTCTGTCCACGAGAAGACAAAAGTGCCAAGCCTGCAAGCTGCCGAACCCTGCATCTTGAAGAGCGAAAGCCATTTGCGAGGTGTTCCCGTAGCTCACAGAGGCTTACTTGAATCCCTGCGTTTCGACGAAGCTTGGCTGGACATCTGCAATGAAGACATGCGAGCAGCGAGCTGAGGCAAGCAGTGGCCTGAGACGACCCCTGCGGCGGCGGCGGGGGCGGAGGCTGCATTTGGCTCCTGCAAAGCTGCAAACATGCTCTGAAAACCAGGACCTCAGTAATCCACCCCTAAGACTCAAGCCCCCACTCAGGACTATGGCAGATTCAGAGGCCTAAATAGTAGGACCTTGATTTGAAAGGCCTAGTCAGAGGATTGTAACTTTAACACAATCGCTCATTTGGGCTTGCACGACATGGGGAAAGTCACCGCTTCACCCACATCCTGGAGCTGCGTGGGGAGCTGCTCGACGTCACCCTGAACCCGCTACGTCATGAACACGTAGCCAAGGAACTTCAGCTCCGCACCCTCGGAGCCATATCATAGTTAACTGAACCAACATCCCTCTTAGGATCTGCCGCTCTTATCTTATTTGTAGCTACCAGCAAGGAATCTTGAACAACGGATGCGGGTTTACGAGAAATCGCCATCCGATATACACTGTCCAAAGCCCTAATGTAAACCCGCCGCTCTCAAACATCTTAAACCCTGAGATTTGAACAAACCCCATACAAGCTTGTTTATGCTTAGGCCGCCTTCGCACTAGAAGTTTCTAGTCATTCCGGGAACGCGCTTCTACTATCCCCCTGTAACAAAGCCCCTCAAAACTCGAAAAAGGCAAGGAAACAAACGAACAACACCCTGTGCCTGGGCTCGAAAGTCGGCTCGGGTAGCCAGAGCTTCATCGGAGGGCCTGAGGTCTTCAGGCTCTTAAGTGGTTCCTTTACGAGTGCTATAGGGCTGTTGCCTTGGTACACTTCTCGATTTGCGTCATCCTTGCACAGGGGCCATGCTAATCTTCTCTGTGCCGTTCCAACTTTACCGGAGGATTCGCGCTTTTCGGAGGAGCGTTTGTGGGTTTCAGGGTTGGCACTCTCGCAACTCGGACTCGCCAGACGAGGTCTCTGTGTTCGTGCACAACTGAAACCAACTACTCTGCGGTTTCAGGGTTTTTGGCAGTATAGGGCTCCTTTGAGCTGAATTTGAGGTTCCTTAGCGCTCAGGGTTCGACATTCTTCGCTGTTTCTTTGACGCTCACACTCGGCAATACCAGGCGAAGTCTGTAGGGTAGGGTTTGAGGGGCTTCGGGCCGACTCTTTAGGCTCTGGCCAGGATCAACTTGCAGCCAGAGCGTCGTCAGAATCTCTGGAAACTTTGGCCATACCGAAGCTTAGGATTATGAAGGTGTGGGGCGGGTGCAGCTTAAGGTTTAGGGTCTGTTGCTTAAGCTCCTCGGATTCTTCTTGCAGTGACAAGGGCTGCTTCTGGAAATGAGAGTTACCAACAATAGGGGGTACCCTATTTTGGGGTCCTTATAACAAGGATCCTACTATTTGGGTTACTATGTTGAGAGGGCATGGGCCCAGGCCCAGAAGCATAGGTTGGGGTTTCAGCCACGGTCCGAAGCCATACCCAAGTCACACTCACTAGGCAGCAATGAAAAGAAAACAACCAGCAAATTAATTCAAACAAACCAAACTGGGTTTGAGGGCTGGCGTTTTCAGATGACTAGCTCGAAGTTCCGAGTCGAGAACGCTTAGAATACCCCTAGGGTGACCCTTATCCCCCCACCCCCCAAACCCTGAAACCCCTAACAAACCCTAAACCCTAAACCCCGTCCCCCCGGCAACATCGTCCATGGCACGGAAGTGGCCGGAGTTCTCGCTGGGTGGCGGTGGTGGCGCCGGAGCTGAAGGCTCCCTGGAGTGGTATTTACAAGCCTACGCAGATACATATATAAGTATATTTTATACATATATATACACACACACACACATAGATAGAGAGAGAGAGAAAGAAAGAAAGAACGAAAGAAAGAGAGAGATTTCTATGTGTGTGTGTACATACATACAGACCTCTGTCCTCCCTCCCCCTCTCTCTCACAATATATATATATATATATATATATGTATATATATATATATATATATCTATATATATATATATAGATGCAGATATATACACATACATACACACATACATGCATACATACATACATACAGATACATATACACGCACAGACACACTCACAAACATCCGGATGCATAAGCATAGCCTGCATCTGTGTTTCTCTCGCTCACTCGCTCTGCATCTATCCACACTTCCACGCATGCGTCCTTACCGAATCTATCGACCCATCTATCTGAATCCATCCATCTATCTACTCGTGTACCTATTTGCCCATCTACCTCTCTATCTGCGTATCTATCGAACCCTCCACGCACATGAATTCTCAAATGGCAAGCTCCAAGTTCTTTCTGCCGCTTACCGGATAGATGGGAAGTTGCCCATCAAAGGTGACGATGAGTGTTGGCGACTTACAGGCTTTTTACAACTCTCGAAGAGACAGAAATGTCTGCTGTAAGATGCGGCAGTTAAGACAAGTATGCTTCTGTTCTGACCAGGCTGAGTCCTGAATACCATCCAGCTGCTTGTGAAGAAGACATCCAAACTCCCAAAGTTCAGCATCCGACCATGTGGCCGGTAAGAGTGCATCTTTAATTGCCCCCCCAATGGAATTCTCAACACAGGACCGACCAAACGTAGCTTCGAAGTATCGCAAAATTCCGAAACATCACTGCTAGCAGCTGCTAGCAGCTATCCGACACGGCGTCTTCATTGCCGCCGTGAGGCCACACCGCAGTTTTGGCGGTGGCCGCATCGCGGGCTGCGTCCCGCGAGGTCTCGGCGATCCTGACACTGGGAGTCCATCACCAAGCTCGTACTTGTGCACGGATTGAGGATTTACAGAAAATCGGGGATGAGACCTTATATAAAATGGAACCCTAGCATTAACTTGTACATAGAGCCCTGGCATGGGAAAGATCTCTAACAAAAAGCCAGCCCCCGCAAGATGCAGCTCGTCTGGGCGTGCTGGGGAAAGGGGCCGAGCAAACAGCTTACTATAGGAACCTAAATAGCTATTACTGTCACGGTAGTATCGTTTTGGGTGTTCCTTAGTATAACTATAGTATACTGGGCCCCAAGCCCCCTTCTAATTATTAGGGCCCCTATATTATTCCACAGAGCTGAGCGGGACCAGAGAAATGCTTCGTCGTTTCCTTTTTTTTGCAGCAGGCTCAGCACTTCGCCTGGATTGCCTTTACATTTTGTGCTGGAGGCAGGGCACCAACAGTCGCTCTGTCTTTAGGGTTTAGGATTCAGACTATACATATATATATATATATATTGATACACATACATAGAGAGAGAGAGAGAGATATATATATATATATATATATGTATATGTATATGTATATATACACACCGTCACACAGACTACCAAGGACTTCATAACCCCAAACCCTGGCCGCTGCCTTGAGGCTTGCTGCGCAAAGGCAGCTGCTTCGGCCCCCACAGCGGCGGCCCGTGCCGCTTTGGCTGCAGGGTCCTCCTGGGGAAGCGCTGGCAGGCAAGTGAACCTCCTTGCTTCAGGGCCTGATCGCACGTTGTTTCGCCATTGGGAGTTCGAGTCCGATGAGCAGGATGAAGCCAGCAGCTACGTCCCCTCAAACAGGGCTGCAATCAGGATCTACATATTATTAGTGTGTGTATGTGTATCTCTTTCCATCTCTCTCTCTCTCTCTCTCTCTCCCTCTCCTCCTTTCTGGCTCAATGCATATGTATACGTGCACGCAGCATGGGTCACCCTTTTGTTCTGGGGCGTTGGAGGAGAGTGAAAGTCGACTGAGACACTGCAACGACAGCACGAAAATATCATGGACCATAAAAACATGCATTGAACAAGAAGTGGCTGATGTTCACGGCGAACCTTTTGACTTTGCATCTTGGTGTTGTGGGTAAATGTCATGCCCTTCTGTTGATCGAAGACCGGTGACGTTAGCACACAGCTGTCCCATACCCATGGCCTGCCGTCGCACTCTTTCACGTCACATAGCGGGGAACTGGCGCACGACATGTAGCACTACGTAGAGCAAAGTTGACTCCCTTGATTCCTGAAGCTGTGCCCCCTGAAGTGTCTTGCTATGAAAATTAATGCTTTTCAGCTGGTATCCTATCTGACAGGGATCGGGGAACAACTGAGACTGATGTTTTTGCGGTTGCTGCGGGCACATGCTAACATAAGGTTAAGACCGTGGCGCGGTCGAAGTACAGGATCTGTAAGGCAGCCGTAACGCGGGGGACAGGTTCAATTGCTGGTGTTTAGCGATACATATACCAGACAGGGGGGACCGTGCGAGGGACTGATATACTATGTCCAGTTGCATGTGCGAATATATGGGGAACTCCTCTGTCACAATATATTCTCGCCCAACATCGCTCTCTCTCTCTCTCTCCCCTCCCTCTCTCTCTCGCCGGCCAGACTGAATCTAAGCAAATCCAGTTCGTAGGGAAGAAAAGGATGAGCCGTCCCAACGCCGATGTAGCCCCGAAGACAAAGGAAATCGCCACCCTGCTTGCCCACAGGCGTGTCCCGTGGAGGCGGTGGTGGTCTCGGCAAACCTATGCTGGGTTGAAAGAGGCGAAACAGTATGGCTAGACTTGCAAGCTCAAGAACCTCACAAGAATGTGTGGCACTTCAAGGGTATGCCCGTATGCCGTTAAACTTGGAACAAGCGCAGCGTCCCGTCTTGCGAATAATGCGAATGATCGGCTCGCCTTCTTTTTTCCTTCTGTGATTGATCGCCGACGGGCGAAGCAATGGAGCTGTGTTATCATCAGCCAAGAAGCCTAAGCAACCACCGCAGGGGCCGCAGGGCCCCGGGCCACATGGGCCACAGGGGCCGGGGCCACAGGGTCCTTGAAGGCGCTCTGTTTCTTTTCCCTGAATCCCAAACTGTTTCATGGGGAGAAAGAAGCCCATGAAGCTCTGAGCCAACAGTGCGAAAAGTTGGGTGTGCAGAAGAATGTCCTGGGCCGCAAGGGCCACAAGGGCCCGGGCCGCAGGGTCCGCAAGGTCCGCAAGGCCCGGGACCTGTGCCACCACCTGCAGGCATTCGGATTGAAGGGGCTTTGGGGCTTGAAGTCGGATAAGTCCTATGGCGAGAAAATTCATACTCTTGCTTGCGTGCCTCCTCCCTTGGGAGGCGACCGCGAGCGGTCACGGCGGTCCGAGGGCGCCGACCTTGCGATGGGATTGACAAGACCAAGCAAAAGAACGTTTGCTGGGAGACCGTGCGGGTGTCTACTGCTCCATGTACGTATATGGATGTATGTACTCATAACAACAGATGGTAACCCCCCGGCCAGTGACCTACCTATTTCCTGCTTCCATCAGGATTCAGGAGCAGCTTGCTTGATTAAACACAAACCGAGTGCATTCTACCCAGAGGCCCCATAGTAGTCCCTTTTTAGGATTACCTTGTAGGATCCTATATATGAACCCTAAAAAAAGGTACTACTTTGGGGCCTCTGGGTAGTGTTGAGTTGCTGAAGCGCTCTGAACCACAGGGGGTCAACTTCTGCGGCGCAAACTTGCTTTTTGTGTGTGTGTGTGTGTGTACGTGTATGTATGTATGTATGTACGTATGTATGTATGTATGTATGCATATATATATATACACACACACATTTACATGTGTGCTGGTCGCAATATCATCTGTTTATGTACTCATTCATGTCTGTGTCAATGTATTTCTGGTCAGAGCACTTACGGACTGTCAGGCATCATTATTTATCCATTATTCTTGTTACTAATGGCACGGCATCCGTTGGCCAGAGCATTCCAAGATGTGCTCTTCAGCGAAACCTGGAGGCAAATTGCGAAGAGTTTCCGGAGCACGCGCCTTGAACACCGTGTTTTCGTCAGATCCTCAAGATCCCTGAAGTTTCTGACCCCTAAACCCTAAACTCCTAAATCCGCTCACAAGAAGGGTTGTGCCTTCCAGAAACCAATTCTTTGCGCCCACTTCGTTGTCCCAGCCATGACTTCAAACGCCCAACACTCATCAGGCACTCTCCCTGCTATGGAAGAGGCCGCCAAAAGATGTTAAAGTAGATGGGAAAACGAGTATATCTACTAATATGAATATATGGTTCGGGGGCCGAACTCGACCCCTGCGTTTTGCATATTTCAGGTCCGCCGCCTCCACGACATCACGATGAACTCTGGCGCTTAGGGGCGTTGTCGTAATTCGAACCCTGAGAAACACCAGCCCCTTTCCTTTAACAAATCTATAAAACCCAATCCAAAAAACCAAAACCAAAAAACAAAAAAAACAAAACCAAAAACAACAAAAAAATCAAAACCACCATTATTTCAGCGCTCTTCCAGAATAACATTAGAAATATACACGAATGGGAGAGTTCTGAAAGAACGTTTTTTTTTGTTTTTTTTTGTTTTGTTTTTTTTGGTTTTGTTTTTTTGCTTTCGACGCTTTGAGACACATTTTCTACGTGACAGACAGTTCAATGAATCGCTGCGCGTTCCAAAAGAAGCCGATGCGTGTCAGCCGTGTGCTGCATCACATATATCGCTCATGCATCACTGGTCTCACTCATGCCGTATACAGTTTGTGATTCGCGGTGTTCCGTACTCAAGCCTAGTATAACCTAGTTCTATTTTCCGGTGACTCATATCTGCACAGCAGTCGCGATTCACGACAAGCTTCCGGTGGCCTCCTCAATACTTATTAAACTATCTTGGTTGGAAAGGACTGTAGTGATACAAAATGAAACTAACGTGCAACCTCTCACCAACTGAACTAGTATCATTCCAACCACTATATTAAGTAATCTCTTTAGTCTTGTACTCTACTAGTCTCACTCATGCCGTATACAGTTTGTGATTCGCAGTGTTCCGTACTCAAGCCTAGTATAACCTAGTTCTATTTTCCGGTGACTCATATCTGCACAGCAGTCGCGATTCACGACAAGCTTCCGGTGGCTTCCTCAATACTTATTAAACTATCGTGGTTGGAAAGGACTGTAGTGATACAAAATGAAACTAACGTGCAACCTCTCACCAACTGAACTAGTATCATTCCAACCACTATATTAAGTAATCTCTTTAGTCTTGTACTCTACTAGGCTTAAACATTAGAACCACTGAGATGTAATGATGTAAGCCTTCACATAAAATCACTAGAACACACATGAAAAACTTAGACAACTTGATTTGTATTAACCTCTACACACAGCTAACCTAGACCATTCATGCCAATGCCACTACCTATAGCTGTTCATCTAGTGTTAGTAAGTCATTTTAATACAGGACAAGACAATACATATAATGGTCCTAATGGGGTAGCATTGATTGTACTTAATGGTAAGACATAATGAAAAAGTGCAACAACATAATAAGAGTCATGAAAATCTATATCAATAGCAGCACTAATTACCAAGTATAATACCTGTTGAACCACCTATTGTAAATAGACTATATGAAAGATATTGTAACAGTTAACATTAGTTCTGAAATAGTATCAGTAGACATGCATTACTTGTCCAGGGATGTAGAATACCAACTACATGATCGTAACGAACAAGTTGGTAATGATCATATAACCAATGTATTAACCTGTAAAGTTAGCTCTTGTATCACTGTTGCATACTAGTTGTAAACATATGATGTGTCCAAACTAATTTATCCTAATAGACAAAGACAACTCATAGCCTCATAGCTCAGGTTATCCGATTATAGACAAGTTAACCAAAGACACTAAACATGCAATAAGCCAGCTATTGTTAAACTATTGATTATCAAATGCTGGAAGGGTAGACTTCTGGATTCCCAAAGAACTAAACCAAACATTGATAGAACATAGCATCACCTCCAAATATGAACCAAATGCTATTGTATTAAGTGCATATCTGTTAATAACCTTAATTAGTGAATCATCGCACCTGTTAAAATTGGTAGAACTATTAATGAGATAGATGATGTAGTCCTAACTGATCTAGTTATATGTTGGTTATGTAGCTTAACATCAACCTAATGATTGCACAATGTGACAAGTATTACAGAAATTATATAGACGTTAATGTTGATGACAGAGCTGATATAGTTAAACTATATAGATAGTAAGATTGATACCGCGCACATATACACACACACACACACACACACACACACACACACACACACACACACACACACACACACACACACACACAATTTTCAGCATATTCCTAAAATATGCAAAACGCAGGGGTCGACTTCGACCCCGTAACCGAATATAAATATACGTAAATAAATAAATATATAGATAGATAGATTGTTATATCTCTATATATATATATATATATATATACAGATACATTCAGCCAAACAGATAGCATGCTAGGGGGGTTCAGTAGAAAGGTATGGGGCCTTCTCGGAAGGATCGGTTCGTGTATGCACGCATGCAACAAGTCCAGGCGACAGTGTCAGCAGGGGCAAGCATCGCAAGTAGCTGACCCACGACGGGTACTCTGCCACCAAGAAGCGACTCGTTGCCGCAACCAGACCCACCACATCCCATGCATCCTGCCATGTATACTCATGCATCAGGCGACACAACCCTTCATTTTGAATATGTGCGCTTGCATGTATGCATCTGTATGTATGTACGTCTGTATGTATGTAATTTAATGTACTCTAGCAGCACAAGAGACGGGGTGGACTTTTGGGCATCTGTACATGTGCATGTATAGATACAGCATGAGACAGCCTTCTGCGATGCAAAGCTGCAGGGTCTGTGAATGCCTCCGGAGGCTGTAGGATGGGTTGGCAGGGCTTAGTTTCCAACGGCTCCATGCACTCTACAACCCTTCTACAGTCCTAGTGTGGGAGTGCGGTCTTGACTAACTGATTCGTCCATGTTGCTTCCTTATACAACTTACTTTTTGTTTGGGGTGCTGGATGGTGCCGGTAGCGCGGACTACATCGCGCCTCACGATACAGTCAAGCTGAGCTCCTTTCTGCAGCATGCCCGATATCAACTTAGCTATCATTCTCCCATGCTGAAACGAAACGTCCTCCTCCACCGCCGCAGCCGCCGCATCCACCTCGATCGTCTGCAGTCGATGCAAGACGGCACCGGCAGGTTTTTGGTGAGCTATTGAAACAAAAGGATCCTATATGACTTACCATTCTTTTTTTAGGGTCATATTTGACCCTGGCCCTGCCTGCCCAGAGATGAGGGCCTAAGTACCATGTAGTATGGTAATACATGTATTTAACATTACAACATACTAACACGTAAATTTTCACGTACTTACATGTATACATACATACACATATATATATATATATATATATATATAGTGCACACACACATATATATATAGGACACAACCTGGGTACCGGGGCTTGAACAGGACACAACCTGGGTACCGGGGGGGGGGGGTACCAATATATGCTACCCCCCCCCTCAGGTACCCAGGTTTTCGTCTTTGTGCTGATAGCACGAAGGAAGTCGGACAGAAAAGGCTGCAAGTGCACGCGCATGCTCGCGATAAGCCGACATATAGTACTAGTAGTGAGCGAGTGTGACAAATTGCAGGGTATGGCGAAGCAGGCCTACTGAAACCCAGTAAGAGAAAGAGCTTTGCACGGCATAGAGGTGATACTGTAGCATCCCCAAGGCCATGCACGCAGATTTCGGATCAAGGTGGATAGTGGCTATGTTTAATTGGCTGTCGTTATGGTTTTTTACACACGCAACAATGTCATTGCTGTGGTGGGTGTTGCAGTCTCTCACATGAATTGCTGTGTTCATTGGTTCATACAACCATATATGGAATAAGCCGAAAGCAATGTCATATAGTGTCAGTATACTTGTCAAAGCCTTTAGTCTCCAGCACTGTACAATGATTCATGCGTGTCTGTCAAATTAGCAGTCAATAGCGACAAAAGTATGAAATCGTGTTTCACGACGGTGTGTGTAGGCTTCGCAATTGTTACTGCAAGTATAGTCTCCATTGCCTTAGGAATCCGATCTCCGTTTCTTTTCCCAGTCATGAAACTGCTACATGTTCTGTTCTTCTATATCGAGCTCAAAATGTCAACTGTGGTTTTAATATTACCTCTCACAGTGTTGTTATCACATCTTGTAAAATGCCATTATTCCTGTTACAGTGGTTATCATACTTCACCAATACCAGGCCATTTAGGACCATGTACCACCCGGCTTGTTTAATTTCTGCATCGAATGTTACTGTGTCAATTACTGTTCTGATTGTTCATTCAGACTGCTTCGTATATTGTTCGGGAACCTTGCTTAATAGTAGCCAATTATTTTAAAGTCAATGAAGTACCTGCTGAGTCCTGTGTTTTATACATTCTGCTAAGTTGAGTATAAACCTACCACAGAGCACCATGTGAATACGTACACTTGTGCTTCAAAACACTTCTTGGTAGGATGATGGCTAACCAAGTCACACATTGGCTTGCTTTTTACCTGCTGAGAGTGGGTTGTTAGTCTTCCAAATCAAACATGATCCAACACGCCGGGGCTGCGTGTTACACGCTAGGTTGTATGTTGTAGTTAATTAGTTCGACTATAGTCTTTTCACGTCAGGTGACTTCGACATGTTTAATCCGAGTGCAGTTCATCAAAAGTGCGTGCATCATACAGGTAATATCCATTTTATTGGTCGCAGAATCGTTTTCGAAAGTCTGCACCTACCAAATGGTGACAAGTTGACAACGATGTATGTCAGAATTCTGGTGCACATGGTAGTCTTTTGGCTACGGGGCTCTTTGTTTTTTTAAGCACCAGTGCCACACCAAACAAGAATACACAACCACAACGACCAAAGACCCTCATGCAAACACCAAGCAACATAAGTAGATCCTTCTACATTTATCTTAAGAAGTGGGTGATTAAGCCAGCTAAGCTTGGTCGTGCAGCAATAGCTTTCCTATAATAAGTTTTTGAATCTTAGACATGGAGTACAGCCTTGTATGTGATAAACAGAAAACCCATGAACTGGTGTTCCCACAGTAGTGTCTTCAAGCGGAGACTATGAATTACCTAGCTTCGTGTTGGACCAACTAGTGAGCTTAATCAAGGATGCAAATACCTTACCGGCTTGTCTGCAAAACGCCTCGCACGAGTACGTAAGATCTGCTCAATCGCAACTTTCGGTAACAACGTATTGAAATATGTACTGTGGACAATGTTGGCATGTTCAACCATTCCCATGGATCTGGAGAAACTTCGGGAGCCGGAGCCGCAGTTTCGGGAATAATGGAAGTTGTTGGTAAAACCAACAATTTCCATGATTCCCCTCAGAGAAATCATGGAAATTGTTGGTTTTACCAACATTTCCAACAATTTCCATGAATTTGGAAAAACCTCGGGAGCCCGCGCCATAGTTTCGGGAATCATGGAAATTGTTGGAAATGTTGGTAAAACCAACAATTTCCATGATTCCCCTCAGAGAAATCATGGAAATTGTTGGTTTTACCAACATTTCCAACAATTTCCATGAATTTGGAAAAACCTCGGGAGCCCGCGCCATAGTTTCGGGAATCATGGAAATTGTTGGAAATGTTGGTAAAACCAACAATTTCCATGATTCCCCTCAGAGAAATCATGGAAATTGTTGGTTTTACCAACATTTCCAACAATTTCCATGAATTTGGAAAAACCTCGGGAGCCCGCGCCATAGTTTCGGGAATCATGGAAATTGTTGGAAATGTTGGTAAAACCAACAATTTCCATGATTCCCCTCAGAGAAATCATGGAAATTGTTGGTTTTACCAACATTTCCAACAATTTCCATGAATTTGGAAAAACCTCGGGAGCCCGCGCCATAGTTTCGGGAATCATGGAAATTGTTGGAAATGTTGGTAAAACCAACAATTTCCATGATTCCCCACAGACAGATCATGGAAATTGTTGGTTTTTCCAACATTTCCAGCACGTTCCATCGATTTGGAGAAAGCTCGGGAGCAACACTACAGTAGACGCTACACTTAGAAGCCCAGGGAGCCACTGTAAACGAAAACGTGCTTTCCCAGAGACGCAATGACCAAGGAACACAAACAAATATTAGGGACAGAGTGTCTGGCTTGAACAGGACACAACCTGGGTACCGGGGGGGGGGGTACCATATATATATATGTGTGTATTCTGAATTACTTCGACTGTAGACTTTCTACCGTCGAAGTAATTTTTTATCCAAGACCCTTGACCCCAAGCTCCCACTATTTGCTGCTGCAGCTGGATGTTTCAGGGACGCCGTCAGCACTAACTTCCCACCTGTCCAAAGAGCATAGAGCGTAAAACCGTAAAACCCTGAAGCTCTCAGAATAAACCACACACACAAGCCGCAAAAACGTACAGTCATGGACATAAAACAGACCTTCAAGATCCCACAAAGCCTGACAGACTAAACCATAGAAATCCAAGATGTAATCGAGCCGCCGCAGCCGCCACAGCCAGGGCCCATGCATCCCGGACCGCAGCCTGTCCACTCGATGCTGCGACAACATCCGAGGCGCCAGCTACCGTACCTATATCTTATAGTCTCTACTATTTGCTTAAGAACCCCCAAAAAATAAAAAATATATTCCTTATGGGGGTAATATAGGGATTATTATTTTTATTTTTCGGGGGTTTCTTAAGCAAATAGTAGGTCTTATCGCGTGTTATAGTAAGCTTCATTATGGTACTGATATGATTGGTAAATTCTCATACCATAGACTATGCTTCAGCTCCAAAGGAACGGTTTAGGGCTGCAGGGTTTACTGTAGGTGTTCGGAGTCTCGGGTTTGAAAAAAGGGATAGGAAGGTTGCTCCGTTCAGCCCTCTGCACACCACACATCTCACCTGGGCCACATCCGCCCATGCCACCATTGCCACCAGGACAGCAGCCTGCAGAAGCCAAGGCCAAGGCCAAGCTTGAATTACGTCAAAGCTGCTGCTAGCCCAAGCTACCAGGGCTTCGTCCGAGGGATGTGGCGAAGGTCTTCCTCTGGCTGGTCTTGAGACTCGATATCTTTGGGACTGGTGCGCAGAAACGGTTTGTGAGAATTTGTAAGGATATTATCAGCAGGCAATATTCCATATACTAGACCATTAATGGCAACCCTTATGTTACAATACTACTTCTAGAACCCCGTGTACTACGAGGTGTCGACGGATTACGTGAGGTGCTTGTCTGGTCTCGGAGAATGATCGAAATATCAAGGCATCGAGCTACTGGTGGAAGTGGTGGGCTTCAACAGAGTTCCTCGCAGGGTCGGGTTCTTGTTTTTGAAAGTTCACGACAGATACGATGAAAGCGCAGTATGCCAGGGTCCAAGAGTCCACATCGGGCCCGACTGCATCTTGCAACCTTCGCGTTTGGACAGGCTTGAAACAAATCTGTAAAAAACATACACATACCGCCACATTCAGACCTATCCCAACCGCGTTTATTTTTGCCATACGCAGGAAAGGCCTCCCATGCAGCAGCCACCAGGCGCCCCGCAGTTGCCGCCGCCCGGTCCGCAGCCGCCGCCGCAGCCAGCAGGCCCACAGCCACCACAATTCCCACCACAGCCACTGCCAGAGTTCCCACTACCACTGCAGCCACTGTTGCCACCGCCCATAGGGCAGCCACCCATGCCACCCATCATCATAGGGTTCATCATGCCTCCCATCATCATCATCGGGTTCATACTACCTCAGCACGACAATCTGCAGCAAGATGGTCACTGCATGGAAACCACACTTCGTCAGAGCTGTAGAGTCTGCGAATGTACTGCCCAACGTGCGGTACGGTAACATATGCTAGTGATAGCGAGGAAGATGTAGTCTGCTTTTGACAGATGCGCATAATCAATCAAAGCACGGCCCGAAAGGACATGACGACACTACTGCGACTAATTACTATTCCTACCGGTGATGTTGATGAGGGATGCCGATGATCACGAACATGCATAACAAGGCGTACGCGACTTTATTACACTCGCTGAGCAGAAAGAGCAGAAACCAAACCAAAGCCAGGAGTATCCGTCGAAATGATACAAGTACATGTTTTCGGCCGGGCTTCCCATCATCTGCGTCATCATGGAGGGGTCAATGCCCATTTGCTTGAACATGCCCTCCATCTGCTTCCTCGGATGTTTTAGGGTTTCAGTGCTTGCACTCGTTGGTTTCGGGGCTCACTCTCAGACTCCGCAGGTCTTGAGAGAACAGCAAAGACGGCTCTCGAACTCAGGGTTGCTACGCTCTCGGGCACTCCAGGCGAGGCATGTGGTCATAGGTGGGAGACGAGAGAAACCAAGGGACATCTACGTTGAAGGACTACGTGTCAAACATCAGAACCTCGAACTTAGGGTTGAGGGCTTTTTGCTTAGGATTTGCAGGCAACATCGCACATGAAACGTGAGAACCCTTGTCTGTTCTTTCCTTGACAACGTTCTTGCTGAGACTCGGGTCCATGCCCATCTGCTTCATGACGGCCTGTTGGCGAGGAACGTCAACGAAGCATGTTTATGGGTGGAGCCCGTTGGACAACTTGTTGGGGGCACGTTGCGCACGAGTCGCGTGGCTTTGCTCTGACCTTTCTGTTCATGAACTTCAAAAATGTAGTAGGGCTCTCCACTCAAGCAGCCCTGTCGGATAGTAAGTACCACAAGGCTCTCACGACCGTAGCTTCGATGACACTCCCGACTACGGTTCGCGCACATAACCTGACGCATTTTTGCACTGTGATCCTTGAGCATCCTGAAGCCTCTTAGGGGTGCAACTCTCTGAGTTGTGATCGGGTACGACTCCACTTTCGGAGCATGCTGGACAAGGGTAGTTACGACTGTAAATTTGCAGCAATGTGAGGCTGGTTGCAGCGCAGCCACTGGATCCATGCCCATCTGCTTCATGAGCTTCTCGAAGGGGCCTGGGATTTTCAATTCAACCAGACATGGCCGAGACATGAAGCTGGGTTGTTGATGCCAAGGCATCCTGCAGCTAGATACATACAGACGGAAAGGCAAAACTGACAGACTGACGGTTTCATTGCTCACGAAATCTTCAAGGAGCTTTGAGAAGCCAAAGCGCTCTTCTTGGAACTGCCACTTTCTTTGCCGGCTTCTTTTTCGCCTCCACCGTCCTGTGAGGCAAAGTGGGGCAAGCAGGGTGTAGTGTAGCAGAGGCCGTGACAATCACTGCGTGAGCCAAGTACAACCTAGAGCCACGTGAGACTCATCAACAAGACTCGGGGGAGGCATGCACCCGGCATTGCTCAAGACTGGGAGATAAACTCGCAAAAAGTGCCGACGATTGCGGTCCCTTGGTCGGGCCTTCTCATTCTCGGCGAGCTTCGAAGCCATCGCGAGATACTGCCTGAGCGACATGAGATCTGACCCAATCGGAAGACAGTCTTGCTCCGAAGAGCTTGAAGCCCTCAGGTGGCAGGCGCGGCCTCAGGGCTCACCTCAACTCCCAGACGAAACTACTTCCTGAAACCCTACAAGCTTCTTCCTCCCGAACACAAATAACCTCTAGATCGCTTAAGACTCCTGTCTTCAAGCTCTACTAGGTTTGGCCCTCTGAGCAATTTTCGTAAAGAAGATCCTCTTAAGCCCAACAAGGAAAAGAAAAGGCCTACCTAGCGCAATATTAACTTCCAAAGGGCTCAGACCACTTCTCAGCAAACTCCTCTCCCGGGGGCTCTGCCTCCTCCCTGGGCAGAAAAACGGGCTTAGGGGTTTAGGGTGCTTTGAGGATTCTTGGGGCTCACACAACTTTTCCCTCTCGCATTGCTTTGGAAGTCTATGCTCGCTCGCGAGGTCTGATTGTGAGTATACATGACTTGCATTGCTACGCAGTTGAGCAAAGCCAATTGGGTCAGCAAAACGCCGTTGGTTTACTCAACTAGGGTGTAGGGTTTCGTGCCTTCCCCCCAAAGATTACGGTTTCGACTCACACACTATGGCTTCGAAAAACTAGGGTTTTGGGGAAGTTTACGCTCTCGCAACTCGGACATGCCAGACGAGGTCTCGGGTTCGAAGTACTTTGACTGGTCGGTACTAGAAGCTGACAATCAGCTTAGGGAAGCTTTTTTGACACCTACACTCGGACAAGCCTGGCAAGGTCGGCAGCGATAGGTACATCGGGTTCGTTTCAATGAGGTATAAGGTTTGTTTTTTGAGCTCCTTTTTATGTCTGAGGTATAAGGTTTAGGATGAGGCGGCTCATGGAAAAGACCCGTCGGCCGATGACTGGGCCTTTGGGTCTGATCTCCTGACTACAAGATCTACAAGTCCGGATGCGCATTATGACCGAACTTAGAAGCTGCCCCCACCCTGTAATAGTGACTATAAGGATTATAGTAGGGCCCTACTATATTCCTATTATACTATTCCAGGGTGGGGGCCCCTTCTAAGACCAAACAGAACAAATAGATAAATGCGCAGAGAAATAACTATGCATATACACATATATACTAGCATATGTATACAAACACATACAAACAATCATACATACATGCATCAGGCATACACCAATGCATACCTACATTGATACCTGCATACATAAATAAACAAATAAATAAATGTATATATATATATACATATATACATATGCATATGGTAGACATGTATGTCATGAAGAGTGCTGGGCACACCTTTCCAAACCTAGGGCTGTGAAGAGCTGGCTCGGAGTTCGCGATCCGAAGCTCGCGCGTGTCAACAACAACGCGAAACCACAGGTGGAAAACTCTTCTGGCTTGTAGTTTCGGGGCTCTTGAAAGTGTTTGAATTTGTGAACAAGTATCCCACAAGGAACCATAAGGGAAACCTTAAAGTAACCCTAAAGCCTGAAACCATAAACCCCAAAGTGCCACCTAGTCTTGCAAAGGCCAAGAATCTCAGGCTCCTCTGTGGCCTCCGCAAGGCGCCAAGAAAGAGGAACTAGTGTTGATGGACAGAATCCTGCATGACCCTAAGGACTCTAAACTATGGGAACTATGGTATATTCCTTATAATGGGTAATGCAGGATTTTGTCCATCAACAGTAGGAATTACAGGGTTTGCTTCCCTCCTGCCAGTATAGGGTTCATCGGGTTTGTAGGGTTCAGGGTCTAGGGTTCTTCCGTCCTACTCTAGGGTTTATAGGTTGTCGGGATTTCGGTTTCAATGTTTCGAAAGGAGCCGCCAGTAAACCCTTTGCATAGCAGGCTAGCAGGACATGTGCTTCTGGAACTCATGTAAATACAAGATTCAGGGTCTCAACTTGTGTTCAAACATTTATTCCAGAGCGATCATTCCTGACAGTACACTCTTGAGGTTTGTCGTTCTTGACAGTCATCGCTTGTCTGTTTTGCAGGTCGTGGTTGGGGCCCGGAGTATGGCATGCGGTGGAAAGCCTTCTGCATGGAGGTGGTAAGCCCGGCTGATGCGGCGATGCCGTCGTGGCGCTTGACCTGGCTGACTTCATCTGACTTCACTCATACGGGTTTTGTCAAGCCTGAGCCTCAGAAAACCTCCGCGTGCAAGTATCCGAGCCAGCACAGCTTGTTGGGTTGCCTGTCTGTTGCTACTTCGCCTATGTGCTGCACTCCGCCGCCTCCACCCACTTGTTGTCAATCATGTGCTTCGCATGGGCATCGATCACTTTCTCCACTGCCTGACTCGAATCAATCAGGCACTCTTTCCAGGCAAATTCCGTCAAGTGCCGGAAGACACTACATAGCGTGCTTTGGCTCGGAGACCTGCCACATGGCCTTGTGGGAACATTCGCACCTATCATGTTATGCTGTGGCAAGCTTTCCTGCAATGTTGCAACGCTCCCCGTACTATGCTAGCCCATAGAAGCATTGAATAAAGGAGGCTTACTGCTGCTGCCCAAGACGCGTCGTGGTCGGAGAACTTGACGAACGCAAAACCCCGAGAAGTGCCATCGGGGAGCCGCTTGATGTCTACCTGCTCCACCTGCACATGGTTTAGGGTTTAGGGTTTATAAGGCTTGGGGGTTTAGGGTTAATTGAAATGTGTTGATTGCCATCTCAACGTACATAATGGCCATGAGGTGCAGCACCCTTCGATTTGGGTTCGATTGGTCCGGATGGAAACCAGGCGGCGCATTCCGCTTTCGAGCTTTGCTTCAGCTGCAACACAGTATGTGGGAGTTCCCCTAAGCCCATGCCCCGAATATCGATATCGTGCAACTCGATGTGTCAACTTACCAGCACCGCGTGTGCACGAGGGTCGCGAAATCATCGGACGCTTCTGGTTTGTCGGACATGCTTTCAGACTGGCTGAAATTCCGTGCAAGCTTCGTGGTAAGCAACTGCAAACCGCACTGGAAACTGGCAAGGAGCTTCTGCAGACTGAAGTCACAAGCCTCTTTTCTAGCACCCTGACCTTGCCTGGCCAAACTTCGCGAAGTGGGCTGTGACCTCACAAGTGTCAAGCCCGTCCAACATCAACAATTCACCCACCATTCCTTGCACGGCCGTCCCGGTGCTACTCACAGGTCGCTCGCATTTCTTCCCTTGTTGCACTGGCGAGACCGGCTATGTTCCGAGAATCGAGAATCCGCAGAGTTCTCCCGCCCCGTGACACATGTGCAGCTCGGGAACTCTGTCCTCTTCGGTAGTCTTGCGCAGACCTCGAAGGTTGCTCTCGCTAACTGCTATTCCCATTGCAAGTATCATGTCTGGTGTTGATTTCAAAGCAAATAGAAGAGACGAGATTACTGTGACAACTGTTCCTGTTGCTATTGTCACTCCTGTGGCCTCCACTTGTCAGTAGTTCTTTTGTGAGACTACCACTACTGCAACTACTGCTGCTGCCACTGCTAGTGCTACTTCCACTGTCACTGCTGCTGCCAATGCCGGCTGCCACTGCCGCTTCCACTGCCAACCGCCACTGTCACTGCCACTACAAATACCACCACCACCACCACCACCACCACCACCACCACCACCACCACCACCACCACCACCACCACCACTACTACTACTACTACTACTACTACTACCACTCCTGCTGCTGCTGCTGCTGCTATTACTACTGCCACTTGGTAAGAATAGCTTCAATATCAGCGATGATAGTATCAATACTACGACTACGAATGATAACCCTACTGATAATAATTAAAAGGTCAATAATGATAATACAAGTCACAGTTGAAAAGGACAACTGCATCAAAGGACACTACATAATAAGAGTAGTAGTACCAGCAGTAGCAGTAGCAGTAGCAGTAGCAGTAGCAGTAGTAGTAGTAGTAGTAGTAGTAGTAGTAGTAGTAGCAGTAGTAGGAACCCCCCACCCCTACCAACTACACTTGCTCTTAGCCATGTTAAGACGACATCCATTTTACTCGGTATTTACGGCACTTTCGTCATGTGCGATCATCATAATAGACCTCAAAATCGACTTGTCGAGTTTGCAAACTCGGGCTCTTGATTTTGGACTTGCTGGGGGGGGGGGTGGGGGGGTGGGGGGGGGATGATGACGACACTGTTACGCGAACACACCCAGCAGTATCACCACAAGAGCCGTTTTACTCGGTATTTACGGTACTTTCGTCATGCCACACTCTGCTACATATTCTGAGCCCCTACTTCTCGACTCTGCGTCTTAAATTTTGCTGTTTGGAACTGTTTGCAAAAAAACTCGAAATTGGGTGGGGGAAAGCTTCTTCGGGGATGATCACGACACTGTTTTGCGGACACCCTGAACAATATTTCCACACTCAAGCGCGCACACACACCACACACACCTCTTCAAAAACAGACCCTCCTACGCAGAGGTTGGGCGGTAGGGGTGTTGGCGAGCCCCTCCCACGTACAGCTGGCATCTTTGATTTTGATGTTTAGAAGATGTTGCGCTTCAGGTTTTAGAAATGTTAAACCCTTCTTGGCAGAACCTGGGTTTTGCACGGTATTTACAGCGTTTTCGTACTATCCGACCACCTGGGGTTTATCAATTTCTTCCCCGTCGAGCTTGCAACTCCAGCTGCTGTCGCAGTTTTGGGGCCTGAGCCCCTGCAACTTCACCGGCTGTGACAGTTAAGGAAACTGAGCCTCTGCAACTTCTGCAGCTGTCACAGATAAGGAGCCTGAGCCCGTGAATCTTCTGCAACTATCGCAGCTAAGGCGCCTAGCAGCTACCGCTGCCCAGCCCGGATGGAACAAGCGTAGTTGGTAGGGGTGGGGGGTGGCTAGTAGTAGTAGTAGTAGTAGTAGTAGTAGTAGTAGGAGTAGGAGTACTTAAGACTATTGACATTGATGAAAAGAACAAGGGTAGTAATAATAACCATAGTAGCAATTCAACAACAAGAAGAACAATAGTGCTAGTAGCATGATTTGTCATCATCACCATAATGATAGTCGTCATGACCGTAATCACAACAACAACAACACAGAACTACCATTCCAACTACTACTATGACTGCCACTTTTTCGTGGCCTTAGAGCCGGGCCTTGCTACTGCTGGAGCTACTGCTGCTGCTGCTGCTGCAAACTCTTGCTCTGTCTTGTGCTGCTCCCGATACTTGGAGGATCATGGGACTTAGTAAGTAAGGTTATAAGTACCTTAATCGGGGTTATAAGTATAGTTACCCTAACCCTAGTTACTAAGTCCCATGATCCTTTAAGTAGCAACACTCACCATGCCGGCGGCCTCCAACGAAGATGACCATGTCGTTGCTCTTTGGCTTCTTCTTGCCCTTGGGAGGCTTTTAGGATCTGAGATGCCGCACTGGGCCAACCCGAGTAATCACGAACGGATCAAAAATCTAGGTTGCTACTAATCAGTGGTGATTATTGTTCGGTGCAAGACTTAAATACGTATTCCTGCTGTCGTTGCTATTTTGCAGAATACTGTAGTATGACTACGGTGACGAAACTTCCCAGGGTTCCACTTCGGAAGCAGGCCAAAAGTTTGGTGCTGAACTTTGGCCGAAGCTCGAAGAGCCCCAAGCTCGAGCACGCGAATCTGAAATCGTAAACTCCAACAGAACTCTCCGGGTCCCAAATTCCCACACGTCAGCACATGTCAGGGTTACAAGTTTCAACTACAGTCCAGGAGGAGGTTGTTTCTTCCATCCCGGTTGCAACATCGTAGTGGCACTGTTTTTGATTTCAACTCTCGACAACTCTGCGTCAAGAACTAAGCGTGCTTAAGGATTTAAGGCTTTGGAGGGCGTTCTCGTCGTGCCGGCATGGTGGAAGTTGAACATGCCTGACAGTCAGCCACGCGCTTGCGACACGCCCATTGCCACTGTTGTAGGTTGCTTGACAGCAGGACGAGGCCCCAGGTAGGGCTTCATGCCCGCAAGTCACAGTCCCTCTGCGCGTTGTAGTACAGGCAGCCCCAGACATTCCCAGCTTGACCACTCCAAAGCACCCGCCACACGTCTGGAAACGAAGCGGCTATAGGCCAGTGCTACAGTGGCACTACAGCGTCACCAAGCCATGCTTAGGAACGGTCAAAGCAAGGAAGCAAGAAAGGCTTAGCGATTGCCCGGGTTGCAACCTTCCTGTGGGTGTAACTTCTGGGTCATTCAAAGATCAGTTCGTGGCCACTACATACAGTATCCGACCACTGCAACACACAATGAAAATGCTTCACTGAACTTATGGGCCCTGCAGAGTAAATCCAGACATAGCCGCATAGCCCAGTTCTATCGAGAGGTGTTTCAATCTGGGAGCCTGTTGTGCGTGGTTCGAGACATCTAAGACATCTGGCCCACTGTGATGCAACACTGCTGCAAGTGGATGTTGACACCGAATCGGGTGCCCAAAGAACAACCTTAGAACCTTCATCAAGTAGACAAGTAGCCGACTTGTCGCCCTTCTTCTCCTTCTTGGATCCAGAGACGCCCATCATCTGATTCATCATCTCTTGCATCTTCTTCCTAAGTGATGCTTGGGACTGGGCTCAGGATGATAGATGGTCTTCGCGAGCTACAGTACCTGTTTCCAGGAAGACGGCCTCTGCTCAAGTACGAAGCGCCTCACTTTCCTCCCCCTTATCCGACCAATCCCTTCGTGGCTGAAAGATGTGTGGTACGAGTCGAACAGCTGACCCCGATCGCCTTGCAAGCTCTTCGAAGGCTAACGTCTAGCCTACGAAGCGAACGGAAGTTCCGAAGGCTTCAAGCAACACAAAGGAGCGAGAGCGCGACATTCCCGAAGCACCCCGCGACCCTTTTTGTGCTCATAAAGCTGAACTTGCAGGAAGAGTTCCATGCCATTGCAACTTCTCAGGCCAAAAACAAGTGTGTCTGCAACGGCTCTGTTCCTGTGGAGCCGGGAGGCCTACCTAAAACAGGCCCTGAGCCCTCAAGCTAGCACCGACGCGTGGCTTGGGGCCTTAAGGTGTAGGTCTTTAACCCAACAAATGTAATATAATATAATATAGTACCATATATATATATATATATATATTTATTTATTTATAAGTATATAGTATGATCATATTGAGGGTGGAGACGGGACTGCCCAGGTGCGAGATTTCGAAAGCACGGTTCAGGGCTGTAGGGCTCGGGGTTTTAAGGCCCTTCTGAAAGCCAGGATGCATGTCGCACCCGCCGCCTCCCATCATCATGTTATTCATCATTTGCTGCCTGAGATTGCAATGATCCCATGCACGAGAAAGTAAAGGCTTCTTCATGACTCGGGGATAATATATACACATTTATAGTTCTATACAGTTTATATACATATACACATATATATATATATATATGCGCACAACATATGTCCAACGTACTCGAACATATTCTTATGTACGAAAGTCATAGAGTCATAGAGGGACCCTCGCCAGGGCATTCCACACTAAGCATCTGGTCGGGGGGCGCCTGCCTTCGGACGAAAGCCAGGATGGAGTCTCGTCTCTTCCCAAGCTAATAAAAGGGCCTTACCCTAGGCTTCCGGGGACCTAATTATGGGGTTGTTAAGGGGTCTAGGGCCCTAATCATAAGGTCCTTGGAAGCATGGCTTTCATAATTGCCTATACTATTTTGGTGGTTCCTTGTTCTATTTATAATATAATGGGCCCCCCAAGCCCGATTAAAATTATTACGGCGCATATCTAGCCCAGCCATGAAAGCCGAATCTCTTCCAGACATGCGATGAACACGGTGATGATCAGTAGGATGCTATGACTATCACTACTGCGCTTTTCTGCTACTCTACTAGAGTCTGAGTCAAGCTGAACTAAGCATGGACCTAAACTAGGATGAACGAGACTATCCGCGAGACATTTCCCAGAAACGTAGTGACGTAGTGCCTTTGCATGGCTGAGGTTCGAAGAGCCATAACAGTTAAAAGTAAACCACACGCTTGCTGCCGCCAATGCTATTGAACGGCTGCCCGGCAACCTTTCGTACTTGAGAAGTGCGTGCTCCAGACTCTCGACTCTCCACATCTCTGCACTCAATCACACGGAGCCCTAATGACCAAGCCCGGAAGAGCGGCTGCTGCATCATCATCTGCTGCTGTTGCTGCATCATCATCCTTGAGAAGCTTGGCGCTTCGGCAGCTTCGGGGTGCTATGGGCAAGACATGCTAATTACCTCCCACATGCAGTCACAAAAGGCGGCACCACACCGCGGAGTCACATGGCCAATTAAATAAGTTTCATTCCAGCTCAGAGCACCTGAAACCTATGGAGGAGCAGAAGTCCAACATCCTGAATTCAGCCTGTCTCAGTCTCTCCTTGGCGAGCACAGGATCTCACGGTAAAGGGGATCCACTGAGTGAGGCGCTCCAGGAGCAAACTCTTTTCAATGAGCCCCAAACTCTAAGCCCCCAAGTGTCTGCTGCTGAGCCATTGGGTTGCAGCCGCCGCCCATGCCGCCGCCCATGGCCGGACGCGGCATTCCCATGCCGCATCCTTAAGGACAGGGCTTGAAGGATCCTCATTGAGATACAGGATGCCAGTGACAGCGAAACTCCGACAGTTTTCGAAATACAACATACAAACATACCGGATAGACCCTGCGACAGTTGCTGGCAAAATGCCACGCAGTCCCGGGCTTAGGCTTTTGCCTTCGGGTTACCGTGGCTGACCTCAGGCGAAACACAAACGCCCACGTGACCCTCTAATGTAGGAACCTGACCAAGAACCCCCGGGCCTATAACCCCCAAATAGTAGTATGACTCATACAAAGAACCCTCATAAAGGCCCAAGGTTTCTTAATCAGGTTCCTACATTATACTATTATAACTAAACTCTAGTTAAACCCTCATAAACTACCCTAAACCCCTAAACCCTAAACCCCTAACCCCTAAAACCCTAAACCCTAACCCCTAACCCCTAAACCCCTGAAACCCCAACTCCTAACCCCTAAAAACCCTAACCCCTAAAACCCTAAACCCTAACCCCTAACCCCTAAACCCCTGAAACCCTAACTCCTAACCCCTAAAAACCCTAACCCCCTAAAACCCTAAACCCTAACCCCTAAAACCATATGAGGAACCGAAGCCCTGGAGCCCTGAAGCTCCGCTGCAGCCGAGGATTCCTTGCATCATGGGGTTCATGGCCTTGCCTGCAAAATGTGGGAACAGGGGTTTAGGGTTTAATGAGGGTTTAGTTTATGAGGGTTTAGTTATAGTTATAGTAGTATAATGTAGGAACCTGATTACGAAACCTTGGGCCTTTATGAGGGTTCTTTGTATGGGTCATACTTTTTGGGGGTCATAGGCCCGGGGGTTCTTAATCAGGTTCCTAATATAGGGGGCTTGATAATTGGAAAAGGGTTCCTTTAAAGGGGTGTGTAAGGGTCACTATCAGGGCTATTATGATAAGGATGCAATATAATTACGGGCCTTGCTAAATTAGAATAACTAAGGTTGTTGGGGTAAACCATAAACTATAAACAAAATAAGGAACCACCGACCACCAATAACATAGTAATGGTCATTATTCAGGCCCCTATATTACGGGGAAGCAAGTGACGTTGCATGAGCCTCAATCCGGGACTATCGGCTTAAAGGACCACTCCGAGAACTTGCTGTGCTTGTCTGGGCTGTGTGCCACTCCAGACAGTAACTGGTGCCGCCACGGGACGACTTTCAGATGGTTTGGAAGGTTGCCGCGCATACTGCGTATGTATTGCGATCGTGGAAGTAATCCTCTCACACTCACCCGCCTCTATTCCCCAACCTCCCCCTCACTCTGCACGTGGCCTCCGCTCTCCTTCAGCGCATGGCCGGCACAGCTGAAGAGCCACAAAACGGCACACAAGGGGCGAGCGAGACAAGACCGAGAGCATGGTGATACTGCAAACAGCCTTCTGCTATACTATACCACCATCCTTAGCGTAGAGTCCAGTAACGACAAGGGAACAGCATTATCCGCTTGATGGCATTGCAGTAAGCCAGACGAAACCTCAACACTCACCGTCCCGTACCTGTCATATATGCGAGCGGGTGCATCTACAGATACTGTCTTGACTCACCTCTGTGCTGAACCCCTTGCCTTTTCTGTAAGGGTGCTGGGTGCTGCAGGCTTGAATGATTGGTCTGTCAGTCTAAGACAGGATAGGCCACCAAGTCGGGTCTGCCTTTGGTGGTGCACGGTTTCACCACTCACAGCCGGACTTACTCGGAGCAAAGAAACTTCATCAAGCTTTCTCCACATTCCATCGGTATGGGATGCTTCTTACTCCTGCTTGCAGTTCTTACCATCTCCGCAAGCGGGATGTAAACCTGCACCAACAAGCCACACCCCCAAAGCCGAAATCTGCAAACCACGCCCCTGACGGCAGCCACACCACCTGGAAGCTAGCTGTCCATTAAAGTCTGGAAGATGAAATCCCGCAAGGAGTTGACCTTGGCAGGTCTGATGAGGACCCACATGCCTATTGTGTAGCTCTGTAAGCACAGAAAACCGAACATAATAATGTACGCAATGTTGCGAATATGTGCGTATGTAAGAGAGATGGACAGCGACATAGTCTGCACAAGCACAGGCAATCTTTCTATAATAACCGGTATATAGAATATAGAAACCTTCCACAAAATGCACACATACCTTACTTCATTATCATTTTTGTCTCACCGACTGACATTCATGCAAACTCACATCATGCAGGCGCACATGCCCCCAACACATACATCGCGACTGCATGCACACTTGCTTGCTCGCAGCTTGTTGGTCTGCTTGGAGAACGTTGTATCGCAGCGATAACACAGTGTAGTGCATTGTGTAACTTATAGAAAACCAACTGGTTTGGCTCCTTGCAATCTACATGATGCACATCAGGCCTCCATGGCGGCATGCGTACGTGGCTGCACCACTACTTGGACACGAACGATGAGCTGGACATTGATTAGCAGTTGCAGGTACAGACTGTGCTTCAGGGGCAATGCGCGACAACATTATTCTTGATGACACGGATACTTATGACGGGCATGTTGAAATCGACGTGGCACAAAGTGCCGGCAGTGATGATATTCTTCGAAGATGACGGTGAAACCACTACCGGCGGCAAACAGAAACCAGGAAACACTATAGGTACCAGGTACAAAGCACATGACAAGACCGCTGAGTATTTTCAACATCAAAAGCTGAATTTAGTGCTAACGCCATGAGAACAAAAATGCGCGTGCCACTGCTGCTTTCTACGACCCGAAGTCTACCTGCAAACCACTTTGTCTTAAATGTGGGCGCTGACATCCCTTGAGGCCAGAGCTAGAGATATCCTTTTGCCCTTTTAGCATCAAAACGGCTATGGGAATCGGCTGTTGTCGTCAGGGGTCCTGAAGTCGAGTGCACTGCCGAATCCTAGCCGACTATGCACTTGCCAGCATCAGCCCCGAGCTGTCGGATAGTCGAACAGCAGGGCACCGGGGAGGCTGATTCCAGGGAATTCCTGGACACTGTGCACGCAGCATCTACGCGTACCCGCTTTATGCTGCCATGGCAAAACAGGCATGCAGCGGGGCGGGCCCTTTTTGTCCAATTCTAATGGTCTGCCTCGCATCCTCAGCCGTTTCATGAACGCTGCCCTAAACACCAAACCCTCAACCCCTGAACCCGTCTCTGCCTTGAGCAGCTCGTTTCGGAACTCGACCATGGACAAACTGTCCAGGCCTGTAGCGACGTTCGCATGCAAGGCCTGTTGTACTTATCATACAGCTATACAGAATATAGCTACATGGTTTTATCATCGTGTCATAGTGATGATTGCTGTATGTACTATACATGTATCTCCTCTAATATGTTCTACGTGCTTATATTCTATCTGATATGTTTAGCACTCGCACTCGAGCAACTCAGGCGAGGCTGTGGAAACCACTAGGACCTACCCCTCTTTTCGAGAGGTAATGTGCCCTATTGATATCAAGAGTTTAAGGCTTGTACAGCACATGAAGGGGGCGCGACATCCGGACAATGAGTCGTCTGACCTGTGTTCCTAGACTTTTGCGGGACATAAGGTGGGTCCGATGTTCGATCTCCAGGAAAACGTATGCTATAGCATAATACAGTGCAGTATGTTGTACTACATGAGATGAGGGACCGAGGATTTCCCGTCTCGTCTTGAAGGCCTGCATCCATCAACGGCGTATCGGCAGCGATGGAGTCATCACCGATCAGGCTCGACCTTGCAACAGAAGAAGGGCAGAATGGGTGATTCAAGCAACCGTCCATACTATTCCCTAGGCCTCCGTTACCATATCTGTACAAAAAAGTTCTGTGTTCATCATTAAAGAACTCCTAGTATGACTTCCCTCCCGACTGTGTGCTGAGCTGAAACATCGACATGGATGTATGCTGCTTCCCAAATCAACGGTTCAGTTGGATACGGATCTAGGTGTGTCGCACATGCATAAGGAAGACAAGACGACTTTTGCTTGTATGTGAAAGCCTTGGCTTCGAACGGTTTTGCTACGAGTCGCGAGGGCGGACGGGAATTCAAGGGACAACCCTCTCAAATGGGCTAGTGCCTTGTAGGGGCTTGTGTGTGCCTTGGCATCCTGCACCTCTTGGACGATGATTCCGGTACCATAGCTCAAAGTAAAATTGATTATGTAGCTGTAAGATCATATGAGACAGATGTAATGAAAGTGTTTTGAGGTTGACTTCTTCCGGGACACGTGTAGCGATGCACCAACAATTTCACAGTTACATGTGACACCCGACGTGTCTTCCAAAAACACACACCGCGCAAACATGTCGGTTGCGGTGACAGGAAAATGCAGTTGGCTCTTTTAGCCCAGCAAACACAAAGCACCAGCACAAGGACCTACAAGGACCACAGAAACAGGTACCAGAGAAGAAGACAAATGAGAAAGAACCCCAGCCCCAAACCCCAGATCCTAAACCACCCCCAAATCCAAGAACGCATGCAAAACGAGGCAGTTTGGTACTTCAGGGGCTTGAATATATAGTTCGATTGGGTCTTGCAAACTTACAAAGCCCTAGGGAATAGTGTTGCTAAATATTCAGGCTTCTACTATTCCGTGCCACCCTTCTGAGTCGCTTGTCGCTCCGGGGCTCTGGGCGCGACATCTTGGATCTGAACCTTGACCATCTCAGGCTCCTGGGATCCGGGAAGAGCAAAAATCGGTCGTAGTACTAGTTGTCGTAGGGTATAGTTGTTGTTGTCGTGTCAGCACGCAGTAACAAAAGGAGTAGTAGTAGTAGTAGTAGTAGTAGTAGTAGTAGTAGTAGTAGTAGTAGTAGTAGTAGTAGTAGGCACCCCCCCCTACCAACTACACTTGCTCTCAACCATGTTAAGACAACATCCATTTTACTCGGTATTTACGGCACTTTCGTCATGTGCGATCATCCTAAGAGGCCTAAAAATCGACTTGTCGAGTTTGCAAACTCGGGCTCTTGATTTTGGACTTGCTTCTGGGGGTGGGTGGGGGGGTGGGGGGGGGCGGATGATGACGACGGTGTTACGCGAACACACCCAGCAGTATCACCACAAGAGCCATTTAACTCGGTATTTACGGTACTTTCGTGATGTCAGACTTTGTTACATATTCTGAGCCTCTACTTCTCGACTATGCGTATTAAACTTTGCTGTTTGGAACTGTTTGCAAAAAAACTCGAAATTGGGTGGGGGAAAGCTTCTTCGGGGATGATCTCGACACTGTTTTGCGGACACCCTGAACAATATTTCCACACTCAAGCGCGCACACGCCACACACACCACTTCAAAAACAGACCCTCCTACGCAGAGGTTGGGCGGTAGGGGTGTTGGCGAGCCCCTCCCACGTACAGCTAGCATCTTTGTTTTTGATGTTTAGAAGATGTTGCGCTTCAGGTTTTGGAAATGTTAAACCCTTGTTGGCAGCACCTGGGTTTTGCACGGTATTTACAGCGTTTTCGTATTATCCTTCCACCTGGGGTTTATCAGTTTCTTCCCCGTCGAGCTTGCAACTCCAGCTGCTGTCGCAGTTTTGGGGCCTGAGCCCCTGCAACTTCACCGGCTGTGACAGTTAAGGAAACTGAGCCTCTGCAACTTCTGCAGCTGTCACAGTTAAGGCGCCTAGCAGCTACCGCTGCCCAGCCCGGATGGAACAAGTGTAGTTGGGAGGGGGGGGGGTGCTAGTAGTAGTAGTAGCAGTAGTAGTCGTCGTCGTAGTAGTGACCTGAGCTTTGCAGGCGGGGTCTTTTTCAAGATTTCCGGGCAGCTTCTGAGAGGAAGCTTCTTTGGATGTGTCACTCGATTCACCTTGCGAGCTGTTTGCATTTGTCTCCGCATTGCCAGGTCCGCGGCATGAAATCAGGCCGAATACCTCTAACAGAGCCTATTCAATGAAGGTTGTTCTACAACGACTTTATCGAACCTCTACAGGAACCGCCGCTGAATGAGTAAGGAAGGCGGGAGGTTGCCCGGATGCTGCACTGAAGTCGAGGAGCACATGAAAATCAATGCGAGGTATATCGAGTCCATGGACGATCAGATGATCAGTAGATGTGGCCCACCGACACAGGTAGGACCGCCCAAGGCCGGAAACAAGGCAAGGCAAAGCACGTCGGTGGTTCCGAGTGGCTGCTCTGCACTCGTACAGTTCACAAAGAGGGGCCGGATCAGTTCAAAAGGGTTTTGGGGGGCATATCACCGTATATCCTAAGGTTATCAACCCTAACAGCCATATTACGAAACATTCAGGTGTGGTCCCTGAAGTTTGGCATCTATTTTAGCGGAATAGATAGAGTAGAGGTGACCCTGCTTGCAAGACATGAGAGTAACTGGGTAGCACAAAGGAAAGCGGCGCCAATGCAAAACACCACCAACAAAAACGACAACCATGACGACAACGAAAACAGGATGGGTAATATGAGACACCCCCTATTTCGTGCTTTGCCAAATCCCCTCCCCCCAACCTCCACTCAGCCACTTGGCTACCCGACAATCTTCGGCTTGGCCATCACCGGTGCCGCGCTTTCGGCAGCCATTGGGGCGAATCCGCCGGGACCTGGCAAAGATGTTTCAGAACGCCAGGGGCATCTAATTCCGATATTCGTTCCATCAGGATCCAAGTATTATTGCTTACTGTACGGGGTTTCGCAACCCGGAGGCCAAGAAGCATGACAAAAATCGTAGAGCCATGCTGTCGCCAAGAAATGCGCGTTTGCATCTGCTGCTGACAGCTCTTGAGCCCCACGTCTTGACCCGCACAATAACCAATCCTTTTGGGGTTCCCCTATTTTCTCATACTCGCAACATGACCTGACGGACACCCTCGTGCTTGGATGCTAGGCTCTTCGGATACTGCATGCACAGCTCCATGGCAACAAGCGCGGGATGGATGGAGAGAGTAGTGACAGTGAGTGGGAGGGAGCGAGTTCCTGGGCCTGGAGGAGGTCTGCCGCCCATGGGTGGTCGCGGACCACCCGGTCGAGGCATGTTGGGCATCGCCGTTGGCATGTCCTCAGGAGCTGAAGCTCATGGCACCGGAAGTGACGGACTTAGGAGTCTTGCAATGTCTTGCAGTTTCGGCTCTCTTGCGTCTGCTTGCGAAACAAGTCGGCTGGCTGGGCCGACAACCAACGGATCACAGTATCAGGAACCTCAAACCGAGGCTGCGTCGGGCATCGCTGGCATGAGAGGCGGCGCAGAAGGTATGCCTCCTGCTTGGTGGACTCTTTAACATGCTGCATGTACTTGGGACTGGCTGAGTGATGCCTTGCGAGAATCCCCGGAGACCTGTAGGCTCTGCCTCCCGACCGAGCGCGGGGCTTTGCACTCCATGCTGCATGCTATGACATGCAGTATCTGTTGAGGGGAGGGCATTGCCGTTCGCCACCAAAACATAGATCCCTATCACTATACACTCTATATATGTATAGTATAAAAAATATATTATTAGATTCTATTATATTTATGATTCCATACAATTTTGTATTGTATACTGCCGGCTTGCATTCGTAGCCCTGGCTTCCCAAGACTCCAAGCTGTCCGGTCCTTCGGAATCCTTCCTCAGCAAGGCAAATGCGGGCTCAAGAACCCCAGACTTTAGGGTTTCGGATTTCGCACATCGAGACGGGCTCCAAACCCTAAACCCTAAACCCTCTCTCTCTTTCTTTCGCCAGGGTTGTGGTGTAGGGGCTTTACCCCCTACTCTCTCTCTCTCTCTGTCTCTCTCTCTCTCTCTCTTTGCTTTGCTTTGCTCGGTCTCTCTCTTTCTTTCGCCAGGCTGGGAGGCGAACCCCCGCCCTTGGGGGCCGCCCGATGTTGGCGGTACGCACGGTATTACGTGCGGCAGGCTAAAGTTACGACACCCCGAACCGAAGACAACTGAAGCTGAGCAGTTGGAGTATATAAACATTGTGTTCGGGTGTGTTCGTAGTTGGCGAGTCGCCCGGGCAGTTATTCTGTTTCCGCAATGCCTTCCCGGACTATCAGTAGGACCTGGATGCCGTAAGTCTGCAATATCAGTTCTCACCCTTGGGATTGCACTGCAATGGGCTGCACTCGCTGAGGTCTACATGGCTCAACTTGGGGCTCATTCAATCATTGCAGTCAGGTTCAGTACCATGTGTCAGACGGGTCCCCACTAGTGAGCCTGTGGACGGTTTTCTATGGACTGTTCGCCCCGATAACGACGGTAGCAACACTTGGCCTGAGGGTCTTGTGCATCATCATAGGACGGGCGAGGTCCCCAGTAGAAACACTAACAGTCTCGACTCTACACTCTGAGTGCCGACGCCCCTGGGTGCAGAAACATATGGTGCCTGAGGAAGCCCATGTAAATCACAAGACTGGGGTCACGGCTTTAGGTGTGGTCGCCCCGGGACATCAACGGTGGCGGGTTAGTCGCTACTGTCAGATTCAGGTGAGCTTGCCGGCGTTGGTTTGTCAGTGGGGCTCGAAGTCAAGCGGCGTCTCCCCGTCGGCAGTGCGTAGTCCGCCATGGCTTCAAGTTCGTCTTCTTCTCTGGCTGCTCCGGCTTGCGTTGCAGACCCCGCAGCTTGTTGTGCTTCCATCTCTTGGTACGTGACCGCCCCGAAGTCTTGTGTATGAGTCTCCGCTTCTTGCCAGTGGGCCGCCAGTAGCAGCGTGGCTTGGTCGTCGCTGTCATCGTGAGCTTGCTCTTGGGCTGCCTGGCCCGCCTCGAACTGTTGCTGCAGGTGCAGGTCCAGGTAGGCGTCACGCTCCGCGTCACCCGGATCTTCATGGTCTAGTTGTGTGGGACCTGTCGCCCCACCTGTAGTCGGCCATTCTTCTTGTCCAGGGGGGACTTCTTCTTGGCTTTCTTGGGCCAGGATCCCCCCTCCATTGTACCAGCGAAGGACTTCTATCAGCGCTCTGCCGCAAAGCTGGTATGCCTCCCCTTGCAGAAAGCCTCGAACTGCGGCCAGGTTTTGCGTTGCTTGCTCCATGGTGATGGCGTGGGTGAAGAAAGGTCTGTCTTCTTCCGCCCCGCCACTGTTGAGCTGGATGACATCCGCCCCATGCGTTGTAGCGGGTGGCCAGGTGTCCTCCCCTTCAACCGTGGCCAGTCGGGAGCCCACGAGCAGGTCGTTGTAGTGCTCCGCAAGGCCCGCGATCCCCATGGCTTCAACCCTACTGTACACGTTGTTGACTATGTGGTGGACGCCCCGTGCTGCTGCTAGTCTGGTACTTGTGTGCGTGTGGAACGCCCCTGGTGCTGCATCCATGGCTGTGGTCACCAGGTAAAGCGTTCTGGCAAGCTGCTGCAGCACCATGTCCTGAGTCAGGTGAGTGTTTGCCTCCACGGTGCTCAGGGACAGGAGGTTGGCTGCGGCTTCTCTGAACAGGGAGTTACCGCCCCGAGGTTTTTTGGTGGGGGATCCCTCTGCACTACTGCATGCAGTTCTTGCCCTGTTGTTCTGTCTCCACGTGGTAAGCATGTTCAGCAGGATAACGACGTGGTATGTGACTGCATGCACTTCACCTCCTGCCGTTTCTCTCTCTCTCTCTCTCTCTCTCTCTCTCTCTCTCTCTCTCTCCCAGGCATTGGAAACCCCTAAACCCTAAACCAGCCAAACATGCTCCTAAAGCCCCCTTTGGGCTTCCCCCGTGGCCCTGGCGAGCTCTCCACCAACTCAAAGATGCCATCGCACAGGGAGCTGCCGAAGTCGTAGCCTGCTCCAGGAAGCTCTCAGTGCACAAAGCCAGCTTGGACTGCTTCTGAGCATGCTAGAGTCGGTTTAGGGTTTAGGCTAACCCTCAACCCTAAACCGCTGCTAGAGGCTGCTGAAGTTGGTAACTTCAGAGTACTGACATCCACTCCACCGATTTGTAAGCATGACATGGCCATGACATGGCCGGCTGTCACAAAGCGACAAAGCACGGGCCTATGTCCCTGGACTTGTTGGCGGCTTTTTCAGCCTGTCACGAGGGCAGTAGTCCCCCGATGGAGGACCGCTGCGCAGCCGGTCATAGGCTCAGGAGCTGTTATACATGGTCAGAGTCGTGCGGCCATCTGACTTACTTCAACCACTTCGCGGAGACGAGATACAGTCAGATGTGACATCGTCATGCCTCGCGCTTGGCCGTCAGCATGTCATGTCTGAGGATCGCGACCTCGTGTGTTTGCGGCAGGGGTGATGAAGGCCACAACCATTGCCGGGGGTCTCGCAGCGATTTGGGGCTCTGCGCCCCGGATGGAATCTGAGGCACAAGCGTAGGATCGGAGGATGAATCCGATAATCTGTCCAGTTTCATCCTCGCACCAGACAGCATTAAACAGGCAGCTGATGAACCAGATTCCTACATGGGAAAGCTGCGAAAGTTCCTTAGGTTCGGTGCAAGGTTCAGTCTTATCGCTGATAGGGTTGAGGGCCGGAAAGGCCACAAGAGCCGAATCAACTGCTATGTCTCGCAACTCAACGGCTGATGAAATAGCACGGATCCATGTGCAGTGCCTAACCTCAAAGCCGATATTTCCAACTAGCTCGGCAAAGCTCTCAGCCCTAAGCTGTGAACTACACCCACACGAGCTTCGTTCCTGGAGGTCGTTGCACAAGGTCTCACCTTCCTCGACGTGGACCATGGCCTGCCAGGCAGTTACACTTTACTTGAATAGCAATGGGCCCGAGTTGATGGTACATATCAGGGGAGCTGTGGGGCTCACAGTTGAAAGCTCTGACACAGAAGACCTCGCTGAACATCACAGTGGGTCGCACCTGGTCTGCATCCTTGATGGCCAGAAATGTCTGAGCCTGGGCGAATCGCAATGAGACCTTTTGATATGTTGGGCTGCGTCGGCGTCGCCTGCTTATGTTTGCACAAGGTCCGGGAATGTCCGGACTCCGAGAAAGGATGCCAATTCACTCTCCGCTCCACTCCACGCGCCACACTGAGTGATTTCTGCAAGGCTGTCATGCTCCATGCTACCATGTTATCAGTGCTCTGGCCCATCGGGTGCCAAGCTAAGAGATACTCGATTGGTGCGAGCAGTGCTTTGGTCTTCTCGGTGCCATCCTCCTCGAAGACTACGTGCCTGTCACGGCCAGCTGCACGGGAAGCTCACAAGAAATGGCCTGAATAAATAGAATAGGGTTCTGGAGCATGTTATAGCATACCTGCAACAAGGAAACCTAAAGAAACAGCACTGGCACCAGATGCTAATGGCCGGTTGCCATGATCTCTTCGTTTTGCAGGTGCAGGCAGCAGGTTGGGTTGAATTCGGGCATTGGCAAAGCCAACAACTCTTCGATCTGTAGTGCCGCGCCACGTGCACGTGCGCCCGAATACTAATTACCAAGACTATTCCTTGGGGCTCCTTATCGTGTACTAGTAGTATAGTAGAACAATAATTATAACAAGGAACTCAGGCCTCTATATTAGCTCATTCCGAAGACCTCAGCAGTTCCCTGACGGTTCATGCATGGCAGTATCCAGACTTCGAAGGAACCACAGAACAGACGTCCCCCGATCCACAGCCCCTGTACCGAGGCTTGGCAGTTGACTCTTGAACATCAACGAACTACGTACGATAAGCCAGCAATCAGAATCGAAGCACAAGTGGAAAGTCGTAGAGTCAAATTGATACTGTAACTAGCCATGAACAATCTTGCCAGCATCACGCCGCATCTCGAGCTCTCCAGGCTGCCTCGAATAAACTCATGCGCCAGACTCAAAGTGTCAGGGCATGGGATCCGAAAAGTCACCACACCTGAAACAGCACTCTCAACCAAAAGAGCACCTTAGATTCCCTCCAACCTTGAACTCTGCAACTCCCAGCAAAACATATGTGAGGTGCGCCACTTCAAGCCGGAAATCGTGCGGTCTCATCTGTTGGATTTCGAAGGTTTCCTTCTGGGAGCCCCCATACCCTGACGCCATAAAACCCAAAATCTCAGAACCATACTCCTGACAGGGTGTGGCTTGAATTGATATTGTCCTGCCTGCACCGTTTCCTCGATAAGAGAGAAGTCCGGCTCCTGTGATGAAACCCAGTTTAGTCATCGGGACCCTTAGCGGGGCAGGGGGGAGGGGGGTAGAGGGGTAGGGGACTATACTTCCTTAAATAGTATTAAATCTGTATTCTTGGTATTAAGGCCCCCTACCCCCCTCCCCCTCTTTCGGGTGATCGGACTATGGCTCGTACCCATCTCTGAAATGATTTGTGTTTATGTGTTCTTGTTAACATTGTATGTCAGCACGGGCTGTACTTCTCTCTGCATTGGCGGCTCCTCCTTGGGAGCTTTGGAGATCTCTGCCACCATGTTGGACAAGTGGATCTGCGCCTTGGCATGCCAGGCCGTCACCGTCACTCGGCCAGGGCAAAGCCGTCGAAGACTCTCCCGAAGCTTTCGCCAACTCCAGAAATCACGCAATAAGGATCGTAGCATCCGGAAGCAGAGAAGCTTCTTTTATGCATACTTTGCGAAAATCACCGCGTAGAAAACCTTTGCTGGCCCAGCTGATCGAGCCACGTGTCCAAGCTTTGTGCAGGGGCTCGCACCGGTCCTCCCAGTCCCAGCCACATTACATAGGGGCCTTTTGAACGCTAAAATAAGGATTCCGTTTAGCAGGTTATATGATAGAGGGCCTTAGTAATTAGGATAGGGTTCCTTTTACTAAAAGGGTTTACTAGGTGGGGCTGCGCGGCTATGTTCATACTTCAGGGCTTCCTACACTGAGACTGGGAACCAGCAGTCGATGTCCGTACTTCTCTAAGACTCTTTTAAGCTGTGTCTCCCCGGAGGCTTACAAAGCTGCTGTGCCTAGTCTACGAGCCCACGACTCAAACCAAAGTCAGCGGGTAGCCTGATGCAATGTGCACATAGAGCGGGATGACATGGATCGATCTGCATGTAATAATAAAGAACACCTGGTAAGCTATGAGCTCGTTGTGCCTTGTGCCTTTATGTGTTGTGCGCATGATCCAAGCCTGCAACATGTACCGACCACGCACTGTCGGTGCAAATCATTCCTGCCCCCGTTTCACAGGAGCTCACAATGTGCTCTCACATGGATGGCGCCTCAGGCCGCGCGGCCTCGCAAACAACAAATGCTCCGTGGAAGGATGTGACGAGACCGCGATGCTCGAGATGCTGCTGTCTGCATAATCATGAGGCATGATTCGGGGTCCCCTCGCGGATAAGTCGTGCTTGGCAGCCCCACATCCCCACCACTCCCGCTGAACCCTAAACTCACAAAGACTCACCTTGTAGAAGTCGGCGAAAACTTGTCCGAGAACCTGTGCAAAAACTCGGTTCAAACATGCGAGGAGTGTCCTTGGAAATATGACTAAGTAGAAACAGTCATGGTAACTCCTGCAGCAACTCCTGATAGTGGACTTGGATGCTGCCTTCCTTACAGACAAGGTCCCAAACCTGCATGACAGAAGGGTTTCAGGTTTAGGGCTTTCAGCAACTTAACTAGACTGAAGTCTTTGTTAAGGCTCTTTCCACAAAGACCATGGCCACTGCAAGCAGAAAGGTCTCAGCCTGAACCCTACCTGAACTCTTTGGAAGTTGCCTGTTTAGGTTATGGGTGGTAAATAACTAGAGGAGCCCTCGTAGGCTCTGTAGCGCCCAGGGAAATCCTGAATCAGCATATTCTCTAGTATAGATGTATCAACGAACGCCCAGGACTAGCATTGGTAATTAATTGTCTGTCAGTCTCTCTCTCTCTCTCTCTCTCTCTCTCTCTCTTTCTCGCTCTCTTTCTTGGTTGCCAAAGGAAGGTGATTTTCCCGCAGAACTACTCCGATGGCCTCTTGGGCACTGAAGTCGACCACCGCCACGAAGCCTGGAAGCCGCAGGTGGGGGTTTAGGGCGCAACAGGGCTTGGATTAGCGGCATTGGGTTTACAGGTTGAGGGGCTCTGCAGCGGCCTCCGGATAATGAGAGTTTCAGATGCTTTTTCAGCGGGGCGGGTGAAGCTCTTGTGTCATGCACCGGCTTTATATACTGTGACGCATGTTACGATCACGAACATCTTATCCACTTGTGGTGTGCTACTATAGTGCACTAATCCATCCAACCCTGAACCCGTAACCCTTAGCCGCTGGTCCCACGCAGGCCCAGTCAACGAAACGCGCGAAGGTCTCAGCATCTGGAGAAGCGGGGCCAGGAGTGAAAGCTGCACAGATAGGAGTCACTGCAATGCCCAAATCAGGCCTGTATAGGCTGCGACGAGAAGCAGGACGATACCAAAGGTCTGGGCAACTTCACCTGTAAGCCGTGTCAATGTCGTGGCGCAAAAGCTTTTTGTTGTTCGAGTTTCTTCGGTTGGTATCCGAACAATCAACCCAAACTCAGGTGCACGCGTTGCTAGATGCCGTCTGCTTCTGCGTATGATACCGTATCTTGACTTGAAGGCTTGCAGCAAGCATGCCGCTGACCTGAAAGTCTGAAAGCCCTTGCGGTCTGTCGCCTGCTACTGCTACTCGCAGAAACCTCGTGTGTTTCAGCTGTGTGGAAAGGGGTTCAGTGGCGCCGCAGGCCACATCCAGGCTTGGCTGGGGCACGCAAAGGCGGCTGCACCAAACGTCCGATGCGACTGACGCCCTGGACGTGGCAAAGTTCTGTGTCCCGAGATTGCCCATTCTACGATGTCAGGAGGCGCGGTCAGCCACTGGTTAAACGACCGCAACGAGGATCGGATTCCCTTTGTTGCGCTTGCGAGGTAGCACAAGAATCCACCACGTACTTGAGAGGCCACAGTCAGACAGTAACCAAGCCATCCCCCACCTGGCGTTGGCAGTGTGACGACCTGCAGGTCCTGCGACATGTGAGAAGTGTAAAGCTAGCACGAGGCGGAGCAGAAACGACACGTCCGTGCAGTCTGAGTCCGCTCCACTCACATCCATATGGATGGGTGGTTGGAAAAATTAGGGGCCCTTTTTGGCTCAGTATTCGTATACGGCACCTGATATTTAGGGTACCCAACAAGGGATCCTGATTTTGACAACCACCCATACAACAGTCCAGCGGAGCAGCCTACCCTGGCGAATGCGGGGTCCTCTGCCAGCTGGAATAAAATGAACTTGCCTTCCTTTTTCGGCTTGTCCGGAGTTTCTGGCTGGAGTTCCGGCACATCCTTCTCCGATCCCGCAAAGGCATCTTGAACCTTGCTGCAAGCAGGCGATTGCACAGACTGCTGCGCAGTACTGCACATGCCAACAAAACTAAGATGTCACATCTATATATATATATATATATATACGTATACTCGCATACACATTATCCACATATGTATGAACGTCGATTCAACAGGTCCCAGGTCTTCCGCGTTAGGGCTGCCGTAGATAAAATGTTTTATAAAGGTGAAGTGCTTAGGGGTTCCAGCATCTGCATTAACTCATATGAATGACACCCCCCTAAACCCAACACCCTAAACCCCATTATCTGCCTTAACTTCCTCCTCATCGGCCACGTCCGTCACCGTGACATTCCCGGACACTTTTGCCTCCACTGCCTCTGGCAGCTGCTTTAGAAACCGTAGCTGTGGGGCTCCGAGACCCCAAAGGGTCCAAGTAGTAGGTTTTAGGGTTTAGGGGTTTTATTTGGGCCCCAAAAGTATGTACTGTACCATTACTTGGACCCCTGGGAGAAGTGAAGATTCAGAAACCGGTTCCGACTGCACATGCGATGTTGCTAGCAGCTCTTTTGAGCGAGTCTACAAGTTTCGCTGACAAGGCAGGATGGACACCAGCTCACGTCTCAACAGAACAGAACCTGTTAAGGAGCGAAGAGTCGCAGCCTGTCAATGTGCCAAGTCTGCATGCTGAAGCATTCTACACATGCAGGTGGCAGCAACTTCCACAATCATCTATGAGGATCTAGAATCTAGGTCTACATCGCTGAGCTGATGGCAACGGGCCAGGCACTAAGGCACAAAGCAACAACCCTTCACCTCCACTCTAATCTCTGCTTGCTGCGGGCCCTGATCCTTGAAACAGCACGGTGGCCTCCTTGGCAGCACCTGCCTCCGCAAGGTCCAAAGTGCCTAGTCACCAGCTTTAAGAGTTTATGTGGGAACCTGGAGGTGCATATATATATATATATATATGTACATATATATATGTGTATATATATATGTATGTATAACCAACAAATAAAACACACACACACACACACACACACACGCAAACATATATATATATATATATATATATATGTATGGGTTAGGGCTTTTGCTTATAGCGTTTGCGTCCCGACGCACCTGTGGCGGGGCCGGGGACCACCTCGGGCTCGGCTTCTGCGTCCTCCTCGTCCTCACGCAGGTTTGGAGGCTTGTCTGGCTCTTGTTTACGGATAGGGTTTACGATTTAGGCTTAATTTAAGATGCCATACTAAGGAAACCAGATTATCTGCTATAGATTATGGTAACTTAAATTATAAGCCCCGTAAATTTAGTAAATTAACAAGATCCCAGTTTACCGCTTCGTCGTAGGCTCCATAGTAGTTCCTTTTGGGGATTACTTTATAGGATCCTAAACATCAATCCCAAAAGGGAACTACAATGGAGCCTATGGGTAGTCACCGGTGTTGGACTGGAAACTCCTTGCGGGCTGCAGGTTCTTGCAATGTTTCACGGCAGCAGGCAAAAAATCACATATCAACAAGCATGCACAAATTGAGAATAGGATGCTGCGTCTACGGATTTCGGTCATCCGAATCCGATGCATGCGCAACAGGACAGGCTGAGCTTTCAAGTTTATTTTACAGTCTACCTGCTGCATGTGTCAATGTAGCTTCGCTGCCCACTTCAAGGGCGTTCAGCTGCAATCTGAAAAATTGGTTTGAAAGCAGCCGTCTGATCGCATCTCGCTTTTGCGGTGTTGACTTTGCCACGACGGCAACCATGTCCTGCTGACAACCACGGCTTAAGTGCCGCCTTGCCGCCAATTTGGTTGAAACCCACCAAGCGGCACATGGACGTGTGATCTAAGGTAGAAGCTTGCATAACTACCAATGCTATTCCTTACGCTCTCACAACTCGGACATGCCAGGCGAGGTTCTCATCGGTGCGGGTCGGTGTCAATGCTATTCCTTACGGCTCCTTGTTACAATTATATTATATCCGAGATGACCCAAAACCTGTTCTAATTATTCAGGCTTCTATAGGTTTCTGGAGCCCCTGAAGCCCTTAACCCTATAACCCCTGAAAGCCAAATCCTTCTTGCTACTGGGCTCAAGTCTAGCGAGTCTACGACCCACCATCTTGACCGAGGCCGACATGCAGCACCGATATCCAAGCCGCCTTTCGGAGGGATAAATCTTAAATCCTAAACCCAAAACCCCTTTTGCATCCCGGCTTGGGCTTGGGAAGTCGGCCGAGGAAGGTGAAAGCCAACAAACCCAAAACCCTGAATCCTAAACCCTCTGGGCCCGGGCTGGGATTGTCGTGCCGGGCCTCTTCCGGCAAAGGGTCGTTGGGCCCCAATCCGAGCTGGATTCGCCGGATGCGCTCCCGGGCGGCCTTAAACCTGGGAGGAGCTACTACTACTACGATGATTATTATTCATGTTCTTCTTGCTATTATTGTAATCAATATTATGGTGATGATGATGTTTGTTGCTATTGCTATGTTTAGCATCATTACTACTATTATTACCATTACAATTACTATTATAAGAGTATTTGGAAAACGTTGTTTTGTTTAGCGGCCCAGGAGGACGGACAAGCACACTCCATGGGTGATATAGGGGAACGGATACTGAAGCATGACCAAGGTTTATTGTTTCCCTCCTACCTATCAAGGTTTAGGGAGGGTTTAGGAGTTTAGGGAGTAGTAACGAGGGCATTCCAATGTAGAGGCAGCCTCCCGAGCCAAGATTAGAGGTGACGGTAGTAGCAATGCTGCTCGTCGCTCTTGTCGCTCACTTAGGGCTGTCGACGTAGCAATGGTGGAGCTAGTAATGGTGGTTGTCCTGGTGGTAGGAGAAGCCAGTAGCAGCCTCAAGATGAGTAGAACAGTCGAAATGAAAGCAGAGGTAGTAGTTAGGCTACTTAGGAGTAGAAGAAGTAGTAGCAAGATATTTCCTGTGAATTCCGAGAGACAGAAGTGCCTCAAGCTCTTGGCATCCGAGTAACTCATCTCCTTCGATCGTTGTCGCCAGCCGAAGTGTTCGAGTTTCCCGCCCTCTTCCGGACAGGAGCTGCAAGCCTGTCAATCGAGCTCAAGCTCACGGCGCAAAGCGCAGATGCTACAATGGCCTACAGCCAATTACAGCGAGGTCAGGTCGAGACTGGAAGTTACACACACACACACACACACACACCGCACAATGGCTTGAAGATTAGAGGGGCGGAAAAGGGTCCCCAGTCGCCGCTGTCCGGATGATTCAATCTGTCATCCACTGCTGGACATCCGTTAGGTGGCCTCCGCAGAAGGCTCCAGAAGCACGTGCAAAGAGCGTGGCAGCAGCCACGAGCAGCCTGGGCTGCATTTACTGGCCGAGCACAGTCTCGCACTCAACAGGTTGCTCGAGGACTATGCAACGACATATGGACGACGAGCCGTGGCAGGTTGGCCGTCCGCTCGCACCCCTGATGTATCATGAGCAGCTGACTTTCAGAGAGATGTGAAGTTGTGGAAAAGGGCTGGGATTACATGCCGTGAACTCGAGACCTTGTGTTCAGTTCGCTGCAATGCACGCACGGTGCTGTTCAGATCGGCACATCGCCTGCAACCGCAATTGGCCAGATGGTTGGATGCCTAAAGTCCCGATATCCGTAGGACTTAGGACAGCCCTGTTTTGCATGCATGTGTGACTCTCTGGCAAGCACACCCAACGGGCATACATGTAGCAGTGACCTGGAGGCAGTCGGTCGGCACATGCCCAAAACAAGCCTCGAATTCGATAATTCGATAACCTTTGATGTCGACGATGGGGTGTTCCCGACTGCTTTGGTACAGTCCAGATACTCCTCTGCCCGTTATAGTTGATCAGCGAGGAAAGAGCTTGCTTTACTTTTCTGCTGTTTTGCCACGCCCTTGCCAAGCAACGCCAGCACCGTCGCTATTCCACGGTTTCGCCTTCCAGACGATTCTGACACCACGGCCCAAACCCCCGAATCGTGACAAACCCGAAACGTAAACGATTTGAAGCACTGCATGGCTGCACTTACCATGAGACACCGCACCATAGAGCTTAACTGCCACTTCAAGTTGCGGAGTCTGCAAAATCTCGGGTGCACATGGACACATGTTCGTAGGGTTAGCATCTCTCAAAGGACCTACAACTACGTACAACTTATAACGTCGACTTGTGCGGGATATTGGCATCATGTCTTGAAAGCAGTTCGTCCATGTGGGGTGCTAGGTGAGGGACAAACATACATTGCAAAGCCCAGATGTGTAGCGGATTTCGGTTGCTTAGGAAATACTCGAGCTCTGGTGTCAACGACTGCGACGGAAAAAAGCGGTAAGGCTCCACGTAAATCGAAGCCCTAACTGATGTGGATTCCCGCACATGACAACCTCACACTGCCCTCCCGGGTCGGGCCTGCTTCGCCAGGGACTTCTGGCATGTATCATCTCTGAGATGCTACGTGGGCCCCAGAGGGGACCGGACGGGGCGCAGGAGCCTTTAAGCCAAACGGCCCCAGTTTAGGGTCCCGGTTTCCGGGGCTCAGGACTAGTGAGCCCAATCTTGCCAATGCTTGGAGTTCGAAGTAAAAGCATAGCAGTCATCGTCGAAGCCACCGTTTCTGCGATATTCCTAACCGAAAGACTCCTCAACAGGACTGAAACCTACATACATATATATATATATATATATATATATATATATATGTAAACGTATATCACATCTGCATATTATTAGATAATAACAAACACATGTCGGTATATATATATATATATATATGCATTAAAATACTACTATTTATATTGTGCATGTTTCGGTTTGCGCAAAGGCCCCCGGCTACTGTAGACAGCACGGCAGCAATGTTGGACTTGTCCGTGGTCTCCTGCTTTCGTCCGCATGAAGGGCAAACGAATCGACGCATGAGTGAAGTTACAAGGTTATGTAGATAAGAGTGAAAGTAACAGCTGGATCTATGCCCAGCTCGGGTTCCCATGATCCCCACAGAAGAGGTTTCATGCAGGCTTTGGCAAGCAGTATCACTGAATCGGGGGGGAAGGGAGGGGGGGGGCTAAGGTTCATGCGAGCACGTCAGACTGCAGCTGCACATAGCTTCCCTGCGAGCCTGAACAAGTTGCTCCGCCTTCTTTGCCGCCTCATGCCGCAACGAGAACAGGATGGTAGCTAGAAGCGGAAACAAAACGCCACAAGGAACGAGGGACAGACCAACAGGACAGAGAGCAGCTCAAACAAAACAGGAGACAAAAAAGAGCGGAAAGAGCGAGCCGGGAATGAGAGAGCGACAGAGACGGAGGGAGCAACGGACAGACAAACGCAAACAGGGCAGAGAGAAGCAGTCACGAAGAGACAAGGAGCAAGGGGTTAGAGCTGGAGAGGAGTGAGGTTTCGGACAGGGATAGCTACAGTAGGGCGAGGGTGGGCCACAGGCGGTGGCAACATCAAACTGCTAAGCCCAACTTCCCTGTGAGGCCGCGACTCTCATTGCAGCGGGAAAGTTCTCCCTCATTGCCTGCACAAGGTGTCAGCAGCAAACCTCGCTGTTCTTGTGAACTTTTAACCCATTCGCTCCAGGAATGACCAGCAGTGGACAGCTGTAGACTCTGACATTGGACATGCACCGTTGAGCACCTTTTGTGCAAGGTCCGTTCCAAATCCGGCTGGGTGAATGCACTGTTGAAGCACTTCACATCTAAGCAATGGAAGGCTTTCCGACGGATGCAATTGCGAGACGCGAACTGAACGTATCGGATTTCAGAGAGTTTCAGGCAGCAGTGGCAACGAGTTCGAGCTCTCCACTGTCACTATACACCACATCAGTACATCTTGTCCTCTTCCTCCTGGTCCGGTCGGCACGATCTGCTACGAAGTACCGCCTGCAGTTCGGCAACATCATGCAGCGCTTTGGTCTCCCACCTTGGCAAGGTCTCAGGGGCATAAGCCACTTAGCAAGCTGCTTACGAAATTCATCTAGTGCAGCTAGGACGGCATGCAGGAACATGAACAAGCTTATGTTACACTGGAGCGTTTCGCCCCTACCTGCAAAACCCGACTGAAAGCCCCGGAGATGCTTGCCCAGGTCTAGGGCAAACGTTCGGCGAATCACAGCCCACGGCTTTCTGCAGCTGCGGTGCCTTCGGTCCTTCTCCTTTTGGAAGAGGTACTGTGCTTCTGTGGCATCTTGGACCTCCGGCACTGAGTAGATCCCTCCTTACACCCTCACATTCGGACTCACTTTGGGCCTTTTTAGGGGTACCCTTAAGGGTTCCGACACCTTGAAAAAAACTATGTCGTACTTAATATTGTGGCACTGACATGACTTGCAGGACAGCTGCCCTCGAGAACTTCATCGACTTTACTGATGCGCAGCAGAGAACTTCAGGCATTAAAGCATCCCTGCTCAAATGGCAAAGTTGCAAGCCGGTCAGAGACCTAGACTGTGCCGTCCGATTGGGCTTGTTGCCTAAACCCTTTTTGCATCCAGGCCTATTGCGACTGCCGGGTACCCTAGGGAACCCTCTCTCTCTCTCCAGGGCAGTCGCTGTCAGGCCCCGCCAGCTTCCCACAGGACTACCACTCTGCACATGTAGCCAGCATTGGGGAAGGAAGCGTGAAAAGTCATGAACTGAAGGAAAGCTTGAAACATGCAAACTGACTCATTCCTCTTCAAACTCTCGTAGGCGCTGCAATCGTGCTGATCTTCTTCTCTGTTTCAACTCCATCCGTTGCTTCCGATGGTGGTCAATCAGCAACTGATTTCCTTCCTGTATTTCTGAAGTACTCTCGTGAATAGGCGTATGAACATTCGAGGTGGCCGCGGAGCTTGTCCAAGCAGTAGTCCCAGCTTCTGGCACGAATATACAAGATGAAGCTTCCCTAGGGAACCCTAAACCCCTAAACCCTGACCCTAAACCCCTTTTTCAGGATGGGCCTGGATTGCCCCTAAACCCTCTCTCTCTCTTTCTCTCGGACTCAGGGGTCTGAACCCTCTCTCTCTCTCCAGGGCACTCAGCGACTCAGACCCCTAAACCCCTAAACCAACAAACATTCCCTGAGACCCCGCGTCGCTCCGGGGTCCCGACAGCTTGGCCCAACCTTGGCGCAGGGTTCTTCTTCGGCCCACAGACTCTCCGCTGGCCCGTATCTGGGAGTTTCCGAAAATAGGGGACCCTAATATAGTACCCTGAAAAGTAGGATCTTTGTTATAAGGAGCCCCAAATAAGGTACCCCGAATTTTCGGAAACTCCCATCTGCTATCAACGACAATGGCGACATCTACAACGACGAACGCAACAGCCAGGAGCAGCCTTATCATCAGCAGCATGCCGAACAGTAGAAACGAGCATGGATGGATGAAGGCTGAATAGACGTAAGAGACCCTTAACAAACCCTCACACACACTCCTACTTCTTGCAGGAGCGACGATTGCAACCAAGTTGCTCCTGACCTAGCTTGTGGGCACAGCTCTTCACCAGCAGCGAGCGGCCTTCTCACTTGGGAAGGAAGTTGGCCCTTTCGTCTTATTTGGAAACATGTCCATCCGACGTCTGATGCACACAACCTGACACTCCACCACCCAAAAGACCCATGAGGTAAGAGCGACTCCTTCATCGTGTCGCAGGCCATGCTTCCGGAAGATGGCACGAGCCTGCAACAATCGGCTTTGCTCAAGACGTTGTCATCTCACTCTCCGGATGGGGGCACATTGCCAAGGAGAAGTGACTGGGGTCTCGAGCTAGAGGATTGCACCGCCGTAGGCTGTGGTCAGCATTCAGCGAGGCTGACTATGACTACGCTGCCCCCCCCACGCAAGCTCTGGGCTGCCATGGGAGGACTACCTGGTGAAGACTTGCGATAGCACCGATATATTGACACAATACGAACTTGCCATTTGTAATCCTGAGCCGTGCCCGGAACTTGTGAAAGGGGAGCTGGTTTGCGATATTGTACCTGCTACACGCTGTCAGGAATCCCAAATAATTCGACTGCTGATGGCAGGGATCCTTCCAGGTACGGTTTACACCGTTTACAAAAGGGGCCCCTCATTTTCCCAAGCTTCGATTGCAGTCTCGGGATCCTCCAAGAGCTTGGATTTCATCTGGCCATAATCACGCAAGCAAATCACGTGACTGCCCGGAATTGTGCCAGTCGAATACCCTTTTCTGCATGACCCCTTCTGATGCAGGAATTCTTGACTGTAGCCCTGAAGGAGCAGCAACCCTGAACCCTATAACTCCCAGGATCCTGAAAACCTTCACAGCCAAGTCATAATGTGCAAAAGGCCTTCTTAGCTTCGTCGAGCGCCTGAGGTCGCAAGACTCTGCCGCGAGTTCAAGTTCTAC